TTGGGATCCATCTGAGCTCTGCATCGCCTTCCTCACCCTGATGGAGGTAGGCTGCTGCAGCTTGGAGGAAGCGATGGTCTGTTGGTTTGGTTTCCAGGTCAAGTCTGCCAGCAAAAGTACTAGATCTGACTGGAAAAAATAGGGATTGAATTGGCTGTGTGTCTACCTTCATACTTAGTCAGCATGGAGTGGCATTCCCTGACTGACTGTTGGCTGTGTGCACTATAAAAGTGCCCATGCTTTAGAAATAATAAGCCTTAAAGCCTGTCCTCACTTCCTCCCCACCCATCATTGTCTCTGACTATTAGAGAAAAGGGAGTGGGAAAATTAACCCAGTAGTAATTAATTGCTTCGAAGTGGAAGACCAGTAACACAAGGTTGCACAATCACTCAGCAATCACTGGATAAATCAAGAAGCAGTTCTTGGAGGGAGAGACCTTACATAACAAAATGTGCCCTTCCTCTTGAGGGTTGCTCTAATCTGTGCTACAGCATCACTGAGGGAGAAGGAATGACCCTTTCTCCCCACCCTCCAAGATAAAAAGAGCTTGGGATTGGGGTTTTTCCATTTGCTTGTCACCAGACTTCTGTTTCCTCCAGCCATTTGGCCCTGCTCAAAGGCTGCTCAAATATATCTAAGAAAAGGAGCTTTTTACAAGTAAGCTCTTGAGCCTTGCCTCATATCCACTGTAGAAATTCCCCTGTTCCCAATAGTCCAGTTCCTGTGTCCTCCCTTCTGTTCACCTTCAGTCCCCAAACTGGGGCAGTACTGCTTGTTTCTTTGGGTCTTGCTGTTGTCTGAAGGGAAGAGGCCTTGAAAATGAACATGCCTATAACAAAGGAGATCTTGGAGCTGAACAACAGAAAAATGCAGTAACCAGAGTCTAGTGGGGAATGACAGAGGTGACTGAAAGAAATTTGCTTGGGATCCATGTGGAAAGAGTAAAGGAACGAGGACTGCTTAGTCTAAAGATGCTGAAGGACAGACAGAAGACTTAAAATGCACGGAAAATGGCTGTGGAGAAGAGGAGACAGGGCAAGAAATAATGGGCTTCAGTTGCTATGAAAGTGATGTAAAGCAGGCCAAACAAACAGGTTTGCTCCTTCTTGGTGTATTGAAGTGGGTCCCTAGGAGGGAGGGCAGGGAAACTCCTTGTTGGATGTTTTCAAGAGCATGTTAAGCAATCTGCTGTCTGAAGAAAAGGGGCTTGAGTAGAGCAAGAAACACTTTAGTTCTTCCCATCTCCTGCATTCAGAGCCTTTTCTGCTGGCATCCTTTCCTCGTTGATGCTGTGGGACTGTCCTTGAGCCAGGCTTGCTTAGAAAGCCCATGATATGCGTGTGACCTTCTGAAGTCGTGTCCTTGGGAGGTGTCTTCCCTGTAAAGATGTTTGAAGCACTGCTTGTTAGACCTCAACAGGGTTTCTCCCCTTGTCATCCACTATCTGCTGAGGCTGCTAGATGCTGATAGCCCGGGCAGTTCAATCCTAGGAAGCATCATAGATAGACAGTGCTTTGCTTCTGAAGGTCTCTCAATCAGTTGCCTACAGCTGAAGAATTTATTTGGTTGACACACTCAGACTACTTGCTGTTTCTTTTAAGTCTATCAGTGTGCTAGGATTGTGAGTCAAGCATCTGGGTGGATACAGCCTGGGTTTGTTTATTTTGGAGGTCTTTTTTTTGTTTGTTTGCCTTTTTATTATCTGTCAACACATAACCCTCTGCCAACGTTGTATTGGTAATGTAAGGTGATATGTACAGCTAGCAGCTGGATGCAAGGATCTGTGAATTGGGAGGAAAGAAAAGCTAGTGTTTGAGAACAGTCTTGGCTTGTTTTCAGTCCAGGTTTACTCTTGCTTTATGTTTTCCTGCAGAGGCATGGTTTATAATCCTGAGCCTGGCCTTTGTGATTCAGTTTCTCTTCTTTTCCCCCATGCAACCTGGCTTCTGGTCTCAGGTTCACTCTGCTTTCTATTCCATCACGTAACTTCTGAACCTTTTAACCATGCTGGACAGCAGGGATTGGAGTTCTGTGGACTATTGATCTTTAAAAAACGTGGAAGTTGGCAGGTGGGTAGAGGGGTGGCACTCAGGCTGGTGCCATGAAACATACAGGGAGAAGATGGCCTTTCCAGGAGCTGTTTGGTGGTAGGGTGTTTACATGAGCAAGCTGCCTGCTGGTGCAGCAGGGACTTGGCAGCATGCGTTGCCTCCATTAAGTCCTTGGCCTCAGCTTCTGTCTTGCAGCAGAGGAAGAGAAGTCCTCCCTGTGTCTCCTGCTGCAAATAACAACAAGCTTTCTGATCATCTGACATCTCATAGCCTCTCAACAGCTGACAGTGTACCTGCTGGGAAATCTCTTGTTCCATGTAAACTTCTTAGGAATAAGGCAGAGCCTGCAGCAGGCACACCCACCAGGGGTGCTTTAGCTACCAGGGTCTCTTCTTTGAGGTCAGACCCCATTTTGTGCCTTTCAGTACCTTGTGGTGGTTGAAAACTTCAGTGGAAAGCAACATTGCACTAGCAAACTCGCTGTCTTGCTGTCTGTCCTGTGGCATTTAGTGCTGACACCTTTTTGGGTTCCAGTGATGAGCTGTTGTAGGCTCCTTGCCTACAGCAAATGCAGCAGGGCAGGAAGCTGAAGTTTGCTGAGCGAGTTAAAAGCAGCTCCAATCTGATGTTTGTGTGTTGTGGGGATGGGGTACACGCAGAACCAAGGCCATAAAGCCTTGCTGTGCTGACATGAGCCTCACCTCAGCTCTTCCTTCCCATGGTGGAAATAGGGGTTATGAGAAATCCTGCTGCCTTCTTGCAATCATAGTCATCGTTTCACTTGGCCTGTAGCACACACAGCAGCGTGAATGGAGTGAGAGAGCCCTGTCAAAACCACTTCCCCATGAGAATGGAGTCCCTGCTTCGCTATGGTTACGTCAGTGCTCGATGTCGTGCATTCGCACCCTATGCCATGGTGGGGCACTATGGAGATCCAGATCAGAGCAATTTCTTCTTTCACTTTCTGGCCTATTTCACTGTGTCCGCCATGAAGGGAATGGCTGCTTCCTTCATCTTTGGAAATGGAAGGGAAACAAGTGAGTCAGTGCCTGCAGGGAAGCATTTAACAAAAGCAACATGAGAATCTGGGCAGATAAAACAGTGGAGTCCCTCCAGGTTGATGTTCGCTGTGAGATTGCGAGCTGCTAGCCAGATTTTATTACAGCCCAGTTCACTGTGCTCTGTGACATTGCTCTTATGCTTGTCTTTCTTCTCCACACCTGCAGGCAGTTTCCAGGATGTGGGAACATAGTGACATTCTCCCAGTTCCTATTTATTGCAGTGGAAGGCTTTATCTTCGAAGCCAACTTTGGGAGGAAGCGGCCAGCCATACCAATGAGGTACAGTGGGCCTGAATGTTTTCACCTGTTGCAAATTGACTGGCTAGATTATCTCAAGAAGTGTTTAATAAAATGGCTTATCTGTGTATCCTGTCCAAATCCTATCCATTCTGCAGCATTTGCAAAGCCTCATTGAGAACCTGTCATGCCTGGTAAAATACAAACTCCTTTTTTATCAAGAATATTTAATAGGAAATCGCTGTCAGATATGCACCTGTCTGAGAAACAGGGCAATATTTTGCACATTTAAGAATCTTTTGTGGTTGAAGAGCTCACTGTCTCTCTGGGGCTTCGTGCAGTGGATGTGGAAGGGAGAGCTTTACTGGAAATCTAGCTGGATTCACTTTCACTTTTCTGCCTCAGGGTTTAATTTGTCCCAGGTTTAGCCTGGCGTGTTCATGCTCTCCTCTCTGGCACTCTGTAGTTGATGTGACATGGGGAACTTTTGTGGGGTTCCTTAGCACACTGCCTCGCCTGCAGCAGAATGCTGTGCTCAGCACTTGGGATAGAGATCCTCCTGCTAAATGCAAATTCATGGCTGCATGACAGCAAGGAGCTCCCTAGGATAGGTGTGGGACCATGGAAGTGTTCAGCCTAGGTTTGAATGATTTCTTCTTTTGTTCAGGGTAGTGATGCCTGCAGACAGAAATCAAATTCCTCAAATTAAGCCCCTGTCTTAAACCACAGTCCTTAGGTGAAAGGGGTCTGGAGGAAGTCCATGCTAAGAGATTCCAGCTGGGGTATCCTCAGTTCCCCTTTGCTTCTGCAGTTGGCAAAAGGGAGCTGGTGTAGATCAGCCCACTTCCAATTTCACTTTCTTGCTGCATCCAAATTGTACTGATCTCTTTGTCCTTGTCACAGACCAAGAGTTATGTGGTTTCCTGCTCAGCTCCAGGCCTCTCTTTGTACCACTTGTCTCTTCTCAAGGTGTGTCCCAGCGTGCTCAGCCATGGGCTGATTTTGCTGACCACCACTTTGTGTTCGTGTTCCAGGTATTACCTCATCATGGTGGCCATGTTCTTCACTGTCAGTGTGGTGAATAACTATGCTTTGAACTTAAATATTGCCATGCCACTGCACATGATCTTCAGATCGGTGAGTACAGCCATGCTGTCCTTTCCTACCTCCTGTGACATCTCTCCCCATCATCTCTGCAAACGCTCTCTCTGGTGCATCTGTTCTTCCACGATTTTTTCTTTCCTGAGGACAACAAAATCCTGAGCAAAAACAATTCCAGCTTAATTGTGGGGAGAGCAGCCTTGCTGTGATAGCTCAGCTCTAAGTCTTATTTTCATAATTTTAACCATTAGATGTCCCTAGACAGATGAAGAAACTGAAGCTGGAGCATACTTCATCTTTCCTGAGCTGATGAGGAAGTAAGAGTGACAAAACCAAACCCAGGCTCTGTCTGTCAGACTTACATGTGCTCAGTTGCTGGCCAGAGGAACTCCGCTTTCCTTTCCACCTCCTAGTTAAGCAAAATGGTTCATGTTCCACAGTAGGTGCCTTTGTTCAATGCCTTGGGTCAGAGAGGACGCATTTGGCCATGTGTTCCTCCCTGGGCCTCTGCTCTGGAAGGTGCTATTAAAATGCATCTTCACTTAAGTGTTTGCACGTGAGTGTCTGGCTAAAAATACCTATTAAAACCAAAGAAAATAGAGCCCTGGTTGCTGGGAATAACAGAATCTGCTGGGCACATCTGCTGGGTGGAGGCTTTTCTTCCACAACTTATAGCATAAAGCTTCATAGCTTTATAGCATCTTCACAGCATTGAGATAGGTGCAGTCAAGGGGCATTAAAAAGAAGAAAAACAGACAGTGCTGTAGGAGCCCTGTCCTGCATTAACCATGAGAGATTTGTGTATTGCAGCCCTGCAGCCAATCTCTGCAGCTGCACTCCTGTTCCCAATTAAAAACACAGTGGTTTGGCTACGTGCTGCTCTGTAGCACATTGAATGTTGGGAGTGGGCAAAAAAAGGGAAGGTCCATGGGCCAGGAGACCTTAAGAGCCTGTTTGCATCCTTGTTCCCAAAACATTTGGCTTGATTTCTCCCTTTCTGATAGTTGAAGTGAGACTCCCTTTATCCTGTCAGACTCCCTGATCCCGTTCTTCCATTTCACTTGATGCTTTCATGGTAGTTGTACTGAGCTCAAGGTTATTTGTCTGAGCACAAGGAATTCTATCATGCTGACCTTCTGTTTTGTTTTTTTCTTTCTGTCTTTTCCTTTCCCCAGGGCTCTCTCATAGCAAGCATGGCTCTAGGTATCATCATTTTGAAAAAAAGGTAAATCACAAGCACTTTTCTTACCATCTTACACCATCATGCAATGCACTGCCACTGGCTTGATCCTGACTGATGTTAAATGCCTTCCCCTTTCCTCATAAATAGCCTTGTTTTACTGATAGTGAAGATGAGGCACAGGGTCTGCCTGGACTAAAGGTCCTTTTCAACACTCTCACTGCCCCTCACTCCTTCAATTAAGGCAAGTGTAGACTGGATGAGAGTTTTTAAATATGGCTGCAAACCACTGTTAGCTCTTTTCTTTCCTATTCCATCTCGTATTTACTTCTCTTCTACTTGGTATACTGACTCTGGCTGGGACAGAGTTAACTTTCATCACAGCAGCTCATAAGAGTTCTGTGTTTTGGCTTTCACTGTTGATAACACACCAATGTGTCCAGGCTTCTTGTTTTCTATGAACTCTGCCTCTCTGCTCAGTAAGTTGACCTTCTGTTCCCAGCCATGTCCAGCATTAGGTAAAGTGTTTGTTCCCATGGTGCCAAGTCCGTAACAGTGTAACAGAACCAAATACAAAGCAAAGGAGAAATAGATGAACCTTGTAAATCTGAGCTGATCACTGGCATTTCTCTTCTCTCCTGTGCAGATACAGTTTGTCGAAATACACGTCCATAGCCCTGGTTTCCATGGGGATCTTTACCTGCACTTTCATGTCTGCAAAGCAAGTGGTAAGGATTGCAAGGGGCCTGAAGTCACAGCTGTGAAACTTTTTGACAGGAGGAGCTGCCCTGGGCACCTTGATCAGTAATTCCCTTTGCCTGAGTGTTCATAGAGAGGCAAGATGTCTCCTAGATCTGCTCCCTGAAATGATTTGTTTCTCATTTTTCAGTGGGCCAGAGGGAAGGAAAACACCTGCATATAGCTTAATTATAGATGCCTTACCCTGTGTTACTCAGGTTGCTTTTTGTTGAGAATCATCCATTATTTTTTTTTGCCACACAGGTCACAGCTAGGAGCTATTTTCTCTTGCCCTTACTGCAATGTGTTACAGTCAGGAGCAAGAAAATCTTTAACAAAAATGAGCCATTTTATTTCTTTTCTCTCTTTATCCTGGAAGAGTCTGTCAGGATTCACAGTTTTCCAAATCTGTTCTCATCCAACATGACTTTCTCTGACCCTTGAAATGAAATACATATGCTTGGAGAACAGGAGGGAGTGAAGAAAATCCACGGGTAGCACCAGTTTGGGCTTTATTTGGGTCAGCATTCACAGCCTGATCTTGTCAGCTGAAGACAGAAGACTGGTATAAAGTGACAGTCAAGTGAAAACCTGTTTCACTTCATCCAGCTCTAAGAGACTGGATAGCTGTCAAGCACAAAGAATGCCATCATTTCATAGCTACTTATCCTCTCAGGGTCTGAGGAAGGTCTGTGCTTTACAGCCTTGCTCTGTATTAATCCAGATTATCTTTTAATGGGTGTGGGGTTTTGGAAGGAATGACATATGGTGTGCAGAGTTACAGAAATATAATGTGTAATCTAATTTGCCCTAAACCATAGCAGAGGAGTTCAGATAAATCATGCCACCAAGTGTTTTACCATCAGCTAACAGCATGGACAGATCTGGTTCCCTCAGTGCCTTGACCATAAGCCAGTTGTAGCACCTCACTGGGACTTGGCCAGAGCCCTTGTTGTTTCCTCTATGTCCACTGTGACATGTGGACAGAAGAGACTGCCAGTGGGCCATCTGAGAGCTTTCTAAGCAGCACTGGTTATTTTTATTGTTGAAGAGTTCAGTCTTTGGCCAAGCCAGGCCATTTCTGTAAGAAAAATGCCTTTCTTGATCAGACATTTATACTTTTAACTGGAATCTGGTTTGTTCCTCAAAGCAGAGTGGAAATGTGCTGTAGTTGCTGTCACTTCCATTTAGCTGAAGAAGCAACTCTGGAGTGAGCATTCTTTTCTTTATGGGCTTGCTTGAAGCATAACACAAGCCAGGAATGAGGTAGAGACAGGCTGAAGGAATGCAGAGCTCATGATGACTGCTGTGTCTTCCTCCACCAGGCATCCGACTCCAGCTTGAATGAAGAGGATGGACTCCATGTTTTCTTGTGGTGGCTGCTAGGTATGTGAGCACATCTCCAGCCACCCCTGCTGAGATGCAGGCAAGGCTCAGCTCTTTGAGGTCTCAAACTTGGACACATGGGTTGGGCAGAGCAGACTGTGGTGGGAGTCCATGTGCTGGTGTTGTTAACATTAAGCTTCCAGTAGATGTTGATTTGCAAAGAGTGGGAGTTTGTGGCATTCATTAGGAGCTTTGTGCAAGGAGGTGCTTTTCGTTTGGCCAACAAGTCAAATACAGCACCTGAAGGATAGTTGCAGGGTAGTAGTCTAGTGAGAGAATGAGACTACAGTCAGGCATGGTTGCAGGTACCTTCTTGATTCCTCCCTGCCTGTTGTAGCTGAGGCTGTGAGCTATGCAGCAGTGAGGAAGAGGGGCAGTTGCCAGTTCAAGTTTTTACTCAGCACAGTGCTTCATGGAGGACATTTTACAGTCTGGCAGTTGTTTTATACATTCCAGCCTATATTTACTGATGGCTTTTCAGGGAACCTGAGATTGATATTTCATCCACAGTTACAAGTAACTGCATATTCCACCAACTCTGTTTTCCAGCGCTGTGTCCCTGCTTTTAAGATATATTCAGGACTGTCTTGGCATCTCAAGCTTTGCAAATAAGATACCTCTGTTCCAAGGACCACTAATAGTTTTCTGCCCATCTTGCCAAGTCTGGGAGTTCTGTCTTCTCTCAGTCTTTTCTCTCACTGCAAGCCAAATCACAGGAGTCCTTAGGCTGGTTGACTTGAGCTGAGCCATGCTTAAGCAATGCTTCCAGGCTGTGCTTCTCTTCCAGGTATTGCTGCACTCACCTTCGCCCTCCTCATGTCTGCAAGAATGGGAATTTTCCAGGAGACACTGTACAAGCAGTTTGGGAAGCACTCCAAAGAGGCCCTTTTTTACAACGTGAGTCACTGCATCTTTTCTGTTTTTTTTTTTTTCACTGGGCACAGAGAGCTATTCAGACACCCTTTCCCTCCCTCCATCCAGCACTCAGATCCATACAGGCAGCCCTGTGAGCTACTTCAAATGATGGTGGTTTCAACTGTGTGTAGTCCTCAGAACCCAAAAGATTCCTTTGGAGGTGCAGCCCATGTGGTGAATTTTAAAAAGAGGGGAGGCTTGGCTTCCTGAATTTCCCCTGCTCAGCAGCAGATTGGTGACTTCTCTACAACAGTGCTTTGCATGGTGGAATTCACAGTCTGTATGCCTGGGCTGTAGTAGATCCTTCTTCATCAGGGGGAAGTTCTTCACAGAGAAAGTGGTGAGGTGCTGGAGCAGCTGCCCAGAGAGGCTGTGATGCCCCGTCCATCCCTGGAGGTGTTCAAGGCCAGGTTGGATGTGGCCCTGGGCAGCCTGGGCTGCTATGAAATGTGGAGATTGGTGGCCCTGCATGTGGTAGAGGGCTTCATGATCCTTGAGGTCCCTTCCAAACCAGGCCATTGTTTGTTCTGCGATCCTATCTTCCCCCTTTGCTTCCTAGAGGGAGGAGGTTTTTTTGCTGCTGTAGGTGCACAGGGCATGTTAAAAACAGGCAATATTCCTGATTGTGAGGATGGAGCAGTGAATCGTGTGCTCGCATCCACAGAGATGTGTGAGACTGATTTTTCAGAATGAGGAGTGGATTCACATGATTTATTAACATCATGCCTTCCTTTACCTTTTCTTTCCAGCATGCGTTACCACTCCCTGGCTTTGTCCTCCTGGCTCCAAACATCTACCACCATGCAGTTCTCTTCAGCCAGTCTGGTGAGTGTTGCATAGGTGGAGCCTTGTTCTTATACCTTTCTGTCCTCTGGAAAATGCTGGATGAAGCTTTTGTCATTCATGGACAGGAGAGACGTTCTTTCTCCTTGCATCTCCTCTTAGCATTAGCAAGCCTTGCTCCCCTCTGGCCCACACTTTGTGTGCCTACAGCAGATAACATTTTTTCTTGAAATAATTGATGTTGAGAGACCTCCTTGTCCTTTCTCCCCACAGAGCCATTCCAGATCCCAGTGATTGGGCTGACCATGCCAATCATGTGGTTCTACCTCCTCATGAATGTCATCACTCAGTATCCTTCCAGTGTGCAGCTTGAGACGAGCTCTGGAGACAGCAGCACAATGGGAGAGGTGAAATGGAGTGGGGATGCTGAGCTGATGGTGCCTTCCCTGCATTTTGGTAGCTGATGTTTGTGTAACTCTTGGAAAATACAGAGTGGAATTTAACCTGGAATTTTGAAGTTTTCCAGGATGGCTGAAATCTGCCACCACCTCCCCAGGGTCAGGCTGGCTGGTAAAAGTGGTTTTGCCAGCCATTAGAAGGGATAACTGTTACTCATATCTGTGTGCAATCTCCCAGGCAGCAAGGGAAGATCTGCAAGTCTGATGAAGCCAAGGTACCCTGGAAAATGGGGCCATTCAGTTAGCAATTTTCTCACTGTTGACAGGTTAATGTGCCTTATAGCTGCTCAGGCCCTTCAGTGAGACCACCCATTTATCTGCCTTTCCTTTGCCTCCTTCAGGAGGAAAGGGAACTTCTGTTAGTTACAGATGGAGAAGTCTGATTTTAGTTTCCCTTAGCTTCATTGCGAGAGCTGCAAACCCTGTTTGCCATTAACCTTTTGCTAGCACATCAGCTCTGGCTCCTGTAGTGGAGGAGTTTTGCTTTCCCATAGAGCAGGCTGAAGGGGATTTTGAGAATCCAAGGCGTCCCTGAGGTTCAGAGCTGTGCACAGCTGAGCTGGGAAGGGACGTTTATTCCTATATAACCAAACTGGGGTTATCCATTGCCCAAACCTTTGCATTCCTGAGGCTAGGAGAACCTCCCTTTTCAGCTCTGATGCTCCCTAACCTCCCACCAACCAAGATACGTCTGCATTCGGGGCGTCTTCATCCTCACCACGGAGTGCACCTCCCTCACTGTCACACTGGTGGTGACGCTGCGCAAGTTCGTCAGCCTCATCTTCTCCATCCTCTATTTCCGCAACCCCTTCACGGCCTGGCACTGGCTGGGCACTGCCTTTGTCTTCGTGGGGACTCTCATGTACACAGAGGTGTGGAACAGCCTCGGGCCCCTCCTGGCCCGCTGGAGGAAGAGGCCGAAGGAGGAATAGCAGCTGGATACTCTCTGCATGGACCTTTTTATTGTTTTATAGAGCAGAGCAGCAGGAAATCCCCCTAAAGGGGGTCCTTTTTATAACACAGGGGAGGTGTTGGCTGTGCCAAGCTCCTGGGAAACGTGGAGCCTCTGCTTGGAACCTGCCTGGAGTAATGGATTGTGGTGGGAGGATACGGTTACATTTGAGAGGTGCATTTTGTTATGCAACCCCTTTTGCTTCCCCCCCCTTTTCCCGCCCCCCAGCCCTTCACCTTCTCCTTCACATTTAAATAACCCTTTTAAAGTAATTTAAAAGCTGACCCAACTCTTGAATAGGATCCCAACCTTGTGCTTTTCTGCAATCCTCCCAGCTTTGTTGAGCTGAACCCTGAGCCCGTTTGGTGCCGTCCTTTAACAGTGAGGTTACTGTAGTGCATGACTGAGCCCCAGGGAGCCACCAAGACACTGCTGTTCATGGAGCAGGTTTTTAGTTACACTGGAAATGCCAGGCTGTCCTTGTTGCCTGATCCTACCACTTTTGCTGCGAGTTACAACCCATAGCTTCCACTTTCTCCAGACTCTCTACCAGGGAGTGGCTTTGGGGACTTACCTGTCACTAATATCATGATGCTGCGCTGGTACTTAATGAGGTGGAGGGTGTCAGGGGTTCCTGCTTCTGGTAGTCCTTAGTGTAGATCACTTTTCAGCCACCTCTTCCTCCTTTTTCCATCATCCCAAGCGTGGCCACAGGGGAATTTGTTACCTACAGTCAGCTGCAGTGATTTGTGCTGAATCACTTGTGTGCCTGGGACATCCCAGTGTAGAATCATGGAACAGTTTGGCTTGGGAGGGACCTTTTATGAACCCCACCACCAGAAAGGTTGCCTAAAGGCCCATCCAGCCTGGTCTTGAGCATTTTGAGGGATGATCCACGGCCTCTCTGGGCAGTCTGTTCCAGTGCCTCCCCACCCTCAGAGCGAAGAATTTGTTTTTAACACCAAATCTAACTCTTATTTTAAAACAGCTACCCCTTGCCCTATCACTACACACCTCAGGGTAAAAACATTGCCAAGGAATTTCAGAAGGGCCAGAACAGCTGAACTTACTTCTATTGCTGGAAAGGGGCTGGTTTTCCTGTCTTTTTACCCAGCCCTCCCCTTTTCTTTCTGTCTCCCGCTCCTTGGGGATCAGCTTCACTCATGACATTTCTATGCACCCACTTGGTGCAGGACCAGTGTCCCATACCATCACCTCTTGCACAGCACATGGGAACACTTGCAAGAGCTTTGGATGCATGTCTTCCAGGAAGGCAAAGAGCAGCACTGTTCTAGGAGCTGTTCATGGTTGAGCAAATCAAAGGTTGACGAGCAGCCTTGTCTTTCTTGGTCTTGAAGCAGCAGGGGAGCACATGCATGGATTTTATTGTCTTGATTTTCCTTTAGCACCGTGGTTACTTCATTGCGATGCTCCCCCTATTCAGCCATGAGAGCATCCAGTAGTGTCAAGTTGGTCACGTCAAGCTTGGCCAAGGGAGGACAGCAGTAATCTGATGTCCCTCCACCAACATCTTCATGGCTTTTGGCTTCAGTATCTACAGCCCCTTCAGCACGAGAGCTGTGCTTGTGGTGCGTTGCTCCTGTCAGCAACAGAGCACCACACGGCCCTGGGTGTAGGGAGAAGAAAGAGCAAAACCTGCAGTACTTGTCAGTACTGCTAATAAGCAAAGAAAAGAAGAAGAAGGAAAAACAAACATGATGCAAAGACAATCCCTCACCGCCTCCCAGTTAAAACAACACCAACCACTCCCCGAGCAATGGCTGCCATCCCAAAACTCCTTCCCCTCCTTTCTATTGCTGATTTTTATTGAGAGCAGCTGTGTGGCTGTCCCCCAGCTTATTACCAGCCCATGGCCTAGTCACAATGAGGGCAGAGTGGGGGGGAAAAAGAGAAAGCATCGACCCTGTGCTGCTCAGCAGTAGGTTAAACATTGGTGTACTGTTAGCATTAACCCCATCCCAGCCAGAACCAGATGAAGGTTTTGTCCTAGTTTGATTTCTCCTGAGCCAGAAAAAAACCTTTTGTATTATCAGAACTGGGATATTTCCAAGGATTTTCTGGATGTGGAAACTATTCCCCAGCAGCTTCCCTGTATGTCGTGCAGCTCAGCTCTTGCTCGTGGCTGTGGTTTTTGCAGCCTGGGTTGAGGAGTTAGCAAAACAACAGCTCAGCAGGTGCCTGAGTGCCTGTAACATAGTGTACATAGCCTACTCCCCAGGTTGTTGCCCTTTGTATCAAGAAAACTGCATGTTGTCACCCATTTCTGTGTGATGATGGTGCATTTGGGAATGTTTGGGTTCCTTTTTTTTTTTAAGCTGTAATTCCCTCAAACCAGGTATCAGTCATGGGTTATATTTTTATTGTTATCCCATACTTTTTTTTTTAACTGTCTGCTGTGTGATTCTGTGTGTTTCCAAATATTTATTGTTGTGGAAGTGTCAGCGATTCCTTTTCTGCTGTGGGAGAGCTCCCCTGGTTTGTGAGGTGAAGGGAAGGTCCTTGCAAAAGTGCCCCAATAGCCAGAAATAATATTTGAATCCTCCTTACCCAGAATGGGGTACTGATCTGTTTGGGTTTTACGTTTGGAGTGGAAATGATAGAGTGATAGGACCCTTTTTTGTTTTTCTTTTAGCAGAGGCAGGCAAAGTGATGAGCCAAGATGCTTTTAGACCAGCACTTTGGATTGACAGCCTTTGGGTTGGCTGGTTGGGCTTGGGGGCATTTTTGATGTTGAGGTTTGGTTTTGTTGAACAAAATAAATATCTCCTGTTCAAAACATGAGGGTCCTTTTGTTTCTCCTTGCGTATTTTGCTTCTGGCCGTCGGCTGGCGGCGATCAGAAAATTACAGGGGAACTGAAAACACACAATTTATCCTCCCTTTAATATGAGGAAAGGTAGGAATGATTCAGTCTTGCTGAGCTTCAAGGGAAGAACTCAGCCTTATCTCCTTTTCCTGCCGCTGGCACACAGCAGAAGATGAGTTTTTCTTGGCAACGCTGCTGGAAGGAAAAGCCCAATAAAGGACCCTTTTCCCTAATCCATCTCCCTGCAGCAAGGACACAGTTGGGATGTTCCCGAGCCAGTGGTTATGCCATGGTTAATGGAACAATGCCAGCAACAAGATGTCCTGTGGCAAAGTGTGCTGTAGGACTTGGTTGTGCCGTGATTTATAGATGAGTCCATCAGCACAGCCCCAGTTGTGTATCTGCCCCGTTTGCCTGCTCAGTGCCCATGGGCTTACCGTGATAGACTTGTGGGTCAACTACCCTCACCTTCACTTACCAGAGAATGGCTTAGGTTGGAAAGGGACCTTAAAGTTCATCCGCTTCCAACCCCCCACCATGGTCTTACCACCCATCAGATCAGGTTGCCCAGCGCCCCGTCCAACCTGCCCTTGAGCACCTCCAGGAACTGGGCATCCACTTTGGGCACTTCCATCTTGCACAAGGGAAACGCAGCTAAAACAATAACGAGCTGCACATCTGTGGTGCCTACAGTATGGTGGGGTGGCTGTTTTCCTCCTCTGCAGCCCTAAATCGCGACCACCTGCCTTGTCCCCTTGTGTCCATCCCTTTTAGCCTTGGTTCCTACTGATGGGGGAAATTAAGTGAGATCTGGGCTGAGTGCAGGAAGAGGAAGATGGCAGGAAAGAGAAAAGGGGCTATGGGGAAGGCTCCTATTTAATTGCACTTATAATAACTGATATCCACTAACAGTCCTAATTGCACTCCGGTGGGTGAGTTGGGCAGCCAAGTCTGCACCTGCAGAGTTGGGCAGCTGAGGTGCCCATGTTCTGGACTTGGGGCCGTGGCTCAGATCTGGATGAGAGCTGGAACCCCAACTCAATTGGAGCTGAGGACACCAGCAGGATTTGAAGACCCCAAAATAGACCCATTGGTTGCTTCAGGCTCCTGGGAATCTTGTCCATGCTGCACTGCTTTACTTGCCATGGTTTTATTCCCTCAAACCTCCCCACCTCACTGTATCAATGGGTGTACAACTCCCAAGCAGTTACCAAGTGTATACATTTCTAACTCAACAAATCATCTTTCCTCAGACTCCTTCATTTACTAAATCCTCATTGGCTGGGCACTGCTTTCATCAACTCAACACTTCTGTTTCAAATCTTTACCTTTCATTAAATTCAGGTTTGCGTTTATTAATGCTTTCAATCTGTCCTCACCATGGTTCACCACGGTGGGATGGAGAAAAACAAGGGATTTTTTTTTTATTAAGTGAGAGGGAAACTCTTGAACTCCTTTGGGAACCTCCATGAGATCTCTGTCACTTCCTAAGTGTAAAAAACTTACTCCCGATACTAAATTAAGTGAGAAGGGAAGGAGAGGGATAAAGATGTCTCTGTAAATCACTTGGAGACACACAGTTAGTTTCTGTTCAGCATCGTTCATTATACCAATCATAAATCAGCAGCTGAAACCCAAGAGAGTACGAAGGTGAGATTTATTGACATGGAAAACCTGGGAGAAAAAGATCTTGGAGGATATAGAGCCATTATTTTTGCCTCCAGCATAGGTTGTGGATCTCTTCTGGCCCCCTTCCTTCTCCAAGACGTGCTGGAAATTTTTTGTAATTACTAGTATTTTCCCTCTTCCATACAATTATAATCAACTTGGCTTTACCCTTCACCCTCTGCTCTTTGTGAAGATGGATGAGCTGACCCTGCAATGACCAAAGGACAGCAGTGCAGGGAATACATGTTAATTTACCCCTTTAAAGCCTGAGAGAGAGGAGGCAAAGTGGGAGCATCTGTCAGAGCCACACGGTCCCATTTGGCATGGAGGAGGTGCTAGGGGACAGCCATGGGAAGATGCATGTTGTCTTCCGCGTCCAGACAGAGGGTTAACCCTGCTTTGAGTCACCATGGGTGGAAATAATCCCTGGGCTGGCAGCTGCCCAAAGCTTAGCACAGAGGTGATGGCTGGTGACCTGGTGACCTTGAAGCAAAACGAGGAAAACTAATGTTATGTAAAGCAGAGATGTCTTCCGTTAGGATCATAGAATGGCTGGGTTGAAAGGAGCCTTAAAGCTCACCCTGATCCAATCCTTGCCGTAGGGTGGTTACCCCCTACTGATCAGGCTGCCCAGGGCCCCGTCTAACATGCCCTTGAGCACCTCCAGGGATGGGTCATCCAGAACGTCTTCATGCAGCCTGTTTCAGGGCCCCCCACCCCCTGAGAAAAGACTTTGATTCTCACATTTCACCTAAATCTCCCCTCTTTTAGTTTAAGACCATTCCCTGTTGTCCTGTCACTATCAGACCATGTTAAAGGTAGGGGAGGAGAGCAGCACAGTCCTTCATGGTCTCCATGGTTGATTACAGGAAGCCATAACACATGGGATTAATGCAAGAAAAACCACTCCAGGCTCCTTTTAAACCAAAGGAAATCTCTCCTTTCTCCCTGGACAGGGATGTTTTCTATGTTGATACCCGCAGGGAAGCACAAGATTGCCACGTGGGTCCAAAGATAAGATATAATCTCTGGAAGTACCTTTGGCACAAGGGATTTTTCACCATGGAGCTCTCGTGCCTCTGATGGACATTGTTTTATACCTTCATGCTTCTACTTGCTCTGAGGTATAAGCGGGGAGAAGCAAGAATGATAAAAATGTAGGAGCTGCATCCCCCACCTCCCCACAGCAAAAAAGAAATTCAGGCTCAGCAACAAGGGCTCTTCTCTCTCTACCCTCCAGGAGACAGAACAAATATCTCAGAAGCTTGAAATATTTCAGGAGGGTTACCAAAAGGGTATGTCTAAGAAGCAAGATTTACTGCAGAGACTACAGTGGGTAGCAAGAAGCATTTGCTTAAGCTCCAGCTCCAATGGAATGGGCACCTGAGTTGGGTTTGCAAATAGAGCAAAGTGGAAACAGTGACTAGGAACACTGTTGGAAGAGCTGGAGCTGTTGAATGTGTGTGAGGTGAGATCAAGGAAGGACCTAAACGGGCCTTCATCAAACCCTTTTTTGGCTCTCCCTTAGTTGAGGGATGCAAAGAGGAACATGGTCAGTTGGTGTAATCACACCACGCAACAACTTCTCTCACCCCCACTGCTCTACTGTTAAAAAAAAAAAATTGTAATTCAGTTTGACAGCTGCCAAATTAGCAGCATATTATGCAGCATATTCAATTAGACAAGCTCCTGAGGGAGCAGGCAGAGCTAGCAGGGCAGCCAGCTGCTGCCGGGATGCAATGCAGTGCCTCAGTAAAGTATTTTTAGACATGGACGTGGGCATTCAGCAAAGGAATAAGGATCCCTTTGGTCAATCCAAGCCAACTCTTCACCATCTGCATCCAAAAAATACTTGTAAAAAGTAAAAATAAAAAGGTGTTGCTGCTGGATTCACAGTAGTTCTTACATCAAGCCTCTACCAGCCTGTATCAGTGAGGTTAGTAGGGGAGGAAGCAGGGCAGTGATGGTCCAAAAGTAGCAAAGCAAATAATTTTATGTCCATTTTTTCCCAGGTCCAACTGTCTAATTTGGGAAGTGGGTGCTGGAGAATTGAGCCAGCACTTGTCTCCTGCTCTCGTCTTCCACTGAGCCCATAGCTGCTTGCCCTGGCTGTCTACATTCTCCTTGTCCATGGAGCACTCAGCCTCTAGCACTCAATGTGCTCAGCAATTTGCACGAGGAGACATTCATGGACCTCCACAAGTCTTTCTTGAGTTGTAAAACTTTTAGCCAACAAATTTCATATCCCCTCATTTGGGAGGAAGTCTGAATCCATACACTCTACTCTTATTCATCATTCCTTAATTCAGCAACTCCTTGTCCTACAGCATCCACATGATCCTACACCATCCTTCTACCACGTTGCTACGGGCTTGGGGGAGGAATGGGGATAACAGGATCATAGAATCATTAAGGTTGGAAAAAACCACTAAGATCATCTGGCCCAACCATCCACCTACCACCAATATTGCCCACTATGCCATGTCCCTCAGTCCACATTTCTTGAACATCTCTAGAGACAGGGATTCTACCACCTCCCTGGACAGCCTCTTCCAGTGCCAAATCACTCTTTTGGAGAAGTTTTCCTCCAGCATCCAATCTGAAGAGCTGCCTTCAGCATAAAGCAAAGACTGGTAAAGTCTTTTCCATTCATGTGGATCACCAGTATGGATTTTATTGGATGCTGATTAAAAAAAAAAAAAAAAAAAAGGGAAATTAAAGAGCTTGTTATGCTCCCCTCTATAAAAATCAGGACTCAGGGACTTGTTTGACTATGACTAACTTAAGGTGTTACTCTGCTGTAATCCAAACATGCTTTCTGCCAATGAAAACAGAGTTCCCCGAAACAGCCCTGCTTTTATCTGCCAGCCTATAAATAAAAAGGCACCGAGTTGCAAGTTCTGTACTTTCAGCCAAAAATAAACCTTCTAAACTAAGAACACCGAACTGCAAAGCTTCACAATCTGCTGAACAAAACCTAAATATGGCAATCCAACAGCACTGCTGCCTTCTGACTTGGCCAGATGTTCCATGCTTTAGGGTGCTGTGGGCAAAGGACGAGTCCACATAACATGGTTTTTTGTTGGGAATCTTGTAAAATTGGGTGAGCAATTTGATCTGCAGTCTGCTGGGAAGTGGGAGGAAACCAAGCAAAAGTGCATGGAGGTAAAATGTTGGGGAGGGAAGGCAAGAAATGGTTTCTAACTATAAGAAGGGAGATGGAATACAGATAAAAGGGGAAAAAAATCACAGTGAGGTAGTGAAGCATTGGAACAGGTTGCTCAGACAGGTGGTGGATGCCACATTCCTGGAGACATTCAGGGTCAGGCTGGATGAGGCTCTGAACACTGAGGTGTCCCTGTTCAGTGCAATGGAGTCGGACAAGATGACCTTTAAGGGTCCCTTCCAACTCAAACGATCTATGAAAGTGAATATTTGGCTGAATTGGCTTCAGCATATTTCTAACGTGAGCTTCTCTCTGGTATTTTTAAAATCCCATGGTCTATTTGCCCACTGGGGATGAGTAACCCTATGGAATGTCCCACACTTGGAAGCATTTGAGAGCTCAGGGTCCAGTAATTGCTTGCAAACTGGGAGATTCTCTTCCAGTTATGTTATTCTGATACATGTTCTATTATTATCTGATACAAACCCAAGTAAGCTAACCAAAGTCCCAAAGGAGACACTGATGTAGCTGGGGTGTCACCCACCACTGCCCTGATTTTCCAGACATACAGAAATTAGTGTCTAGGAAAACAAACAAACAAACAAACAACAGAACAACTGATCCATCTGCACTGCATTCCTAGTTTAAGCAGCTCTGTTACCAGGCTCAGCTAGGAGGTGTGATCACCCCTGGCTCTGCTGCGTGCAAAACACGAGCTATCTTGTACATATTCATTAACCATGACATTAACAATACTACTATCACCTGTACAACAGCACAAACTGATGCACTGATCAGCATCCATGTCAATCAAGCATGCAGTCGGCCGTAACAGCCAGGATAACATCTGCAAAGGTATTTGTAGAGACAACACAGCCATGCAGAGATCTGTTGGAGATATTGTGATGATGCGGTGGCAGTCAGGCACTCACCTGGCTGTGATGCCATGGTCAAAGCCATCAAGGTTCACACTGCAGCCTCAGCTAGTTGAACTCCTCCTGAACCCAGCAGAGCTGCCCTGCTTTTTCTTCTGCCCAGAAGTGGTAATAACTGGTGCTTCTGACAGGCTGTGCTTCAGTTCGAGGATATGGTCAGCTGCAGTGTGGAAAGGAAACTACTTAATAAAAGGCCGAGCTGTTTTACAAGCTTGCCTGGAATTTAAGGTCAGGGTATCTGCATCGACTCATTACTTACTTTGCTCAGTTCATCCTATTTAAACAACATAACCACTCAGCCACATTCTGAACAGGCGTAGTGAGATACTGCAAAGCTGTTCCATGGACATGAATCTGCACTGTGGCAGCGAGTTGTATCTTCTGTGCACACAAGGACTACTGAGGACCTCTGTAATGTAAATAGCAAACAGTCTTCTTCTGGGGAGGCTGCTCAGGTAAAGGGTCATACCATCTGTTCTACGAATGGATGGCAATGGAAATTAATCAGGACATACACTGACTCAAGAGTTTTATTTATTTGTCAGAGCTCTGTTCCACATATAGAAGAACAAGTCTTCACTTACCGCTTCAGCCAGTTCTCAAAAATTGTTACAGTTTTTCTGAGGTTGTTTGTATAAATACATGTGCAAATGAAATAATTATGTCACCTCTCTTAAGAAAACACATTTTATTAAAAAAAAAACAAAAAACAACTTGCAACCAGTTTTCATTACCAACAATCCTGAACGTTTCGCAAAATCGCTCTTGAAAATAATTCACTACTCCTACAGCACAGGCAATATTACCAGAAGCTCTTATGCTTCCACACTTCAATTAAATCTATAAAATGAGAGGGGGAGGAAATAAATAAATGAACAGAAGATATGGACACGTGGTGGTGAGGAAAAATTCTACAGCATTTCCCAGCTGAGAATGCCTGGGGAAATCATTTCTAGTGTTGGGAAACACAGAAATTACTTTTTAATAAAGTTATAAATAAATAACTTTTTTTGGAGAGTTAATCAGAAATGGATTTAGAAATAATCTTTGATAGACTTTGCTTTGCCAAAGAGAAATTCTATCAAATTCAGTACTGCTGTTAGACAGAAAGCTTCAGTGTGATTGAGACCAAGATTCCTAGCCGTGGCCATCAAGCATTGGTGCCCTTTCGCCCAGATGGGATTGGAGGCAGGACAGGTTTGGAGTTGGTGAGCTGAGGCACGTGGGAAGAGCCAGTCTTGGCTTTGCTGTATTTTCTCTGAAGATTGTCACTATGAAGTTCAGTCTCTGCAGAAATTATAAATAAATAAGTGAAGAAACTTAAGGGGTATTGATTTTAATGAAAAGCCAGAATTTATCAACACAAAGTGCATCTCCAGCTGAAAATGCTGTGTGTTGTAGGGAAGAAAGACTACTATATACAGGTAGTCTAACAGCAATTCTAACTCATGTAAACAGAGGAGTAATTTTATGCCAAAGCAGCCATTATTTTGAATTTTTCTTTAAGTTCACTGCTGCATTAAGCATGTTGCCTCTGCAATGTGATGATGCTGTCACATCAGAACGTTGCTTTTTGTGTCATTACCACAGAGGCACAAAGGCTGCCCTATCACCCAAATAAAGCTAATATAGAATCATAAAATTGTTTGAGATGGAAGAGACCTTCAAAGGCCACCTAATCCAAGTGCCCTGCAATGAACAGGGACATCTACAGCTACATCAGGTGCTCAGAGCCTGCTCCAGCCTGACTTCAGTTATCTCCAGAGATGGAGCATCTACCACCTCTCTAGGCAACTTGTTCTACTGCCTCACCACCCTTACTGTTCTATCCTTCTTCCTTATGTCCAATCTAAATCTCTCTTCTTCTAGCTTGAAACCATTTTCCTTTGTCCTGTCACAACAGACCTTACTAAGAAGTCTGTCCTCTTCTTTCTCAGTGCCCCCCTTTAGATAGCATTCCCTTCTCCAGGCTGAACAGCCCCAGTGCCCTTAGCCTGTCCTCATAGGGGATGTGTTCCATCCCTAGGATAATTTTTGTGGCCCTCCTCTGGACACGTTCCAACAGATCTATGTCTCAGTTGTACTGAGGACTCCACATACCTGCACTATCTGAAGAACAGTTGGACTAAATGACCTTTAAATGTCCCTTTCAACTGAAACAAATTCTATGATTCTACGATCATTACAGTAAGCATAAGCAAGACTGTTACTTTGAATAAGCTTCAAACCTTTCAAACTGTCCACTCCATTTTCAGCTCCCCTTGGACCTTGATGCTGAGCTTTGGCAGCTTCAGGAAGATGAGCAGGGGGAAGAGGGCTCCGAACGGGCAAAGCTTCAGCAGCAGGTGTACCAGTTGAGTTTAGAAATAGTCTGCTAGCAGGACCAAATCCTTTGCAGCTAAGAGAAGAAAATGATTTATGCTTTAAAATAACGATAAAAAAAGCATATATACCAAGTCTGGTACTATTACTGATGTTGCAATCACACAACTCAACCAGAAGTCAGAAATAAATGCCAATGCTCATCAGTTACAGAAAGATTTTTCACACAGTACAGTTCTCTCAAAACATGCAGCGCTTGCAAATACAACTGCTATCTCTCCCCATTTTCATTTATCAATTTAACTAATTAATCACACAAAGAGGTGTTACAAAGGGGTTCATGCCACACAGTGAATCAACTTCAGAGCATCACAGAGTTTAAAGTGGAAAGGACCTCTGAATCTATCTAGTCCAACTCCCCTGCTCAAGCATGGCCAACTAGAGCAGGTTGTCCAAGACCATGGCCAGATGGCTTTTGAACACCAGATCTGAAATCAGAACTCATGGCTTCTTATTTGGAGTCTGACAGTGATAGGATAGGGGTTATTGTTTTAAACTAAAAGAGGTGAGATTTAGGTCAAATGTTAGAAGGAAATACTTTACTCAGAGGGTGGTGAGGAACTGGAGCAGGTTGACTAGGGAAGTTGTGGATGCCCATCCATGGAGGTGCTCCAGGCTAGGTTGGATGACGTCCTGGGCAGCTTGATTTGGTGAGAGGCAGCCAGGATCCCTTCCAAACCAATCATTCTATGAGTCTACGATTCTGCAGACAACGGCTTCTTTTGGTAAGTAAAATAAAATGGGAATTGCCTTGAAAAGCAGCAGTTCTGTAGTACTCACTGACAACCTGGATCACAAGTAGCCATCTACCAATGAGATGCAACTAAGGCACCTCTGACCTATTAGGTGTCTGACAGAAAAACAAACCCAAAACAAAGCCTGAGTGGTCTGAAAGACTCTTCCCCCTGTACTCAGCACTGGTGAGGCCGCACCTCGAGTATTGTGTTCAGTTTTGGGCCCCTCACTCCAAGAAAGACATTGAGGCCCTGGAACGTGTCCAGAGAAGGGCAACGAAACTGGTGAGGGGTCTGGAGCACAAACCTTATGAGGAGCAGCTGAGGGAGCTGGGATTGTTCAGTCTGCAAAAGAGGAGGCTCAGGGGAGACCTCATTGCACTCTACAACTTCCTGAAGGGAGGTTGTGGTGCAAAAGGGTCTGGCCTCTTCTCCCAGGCAAATAGTAGGACCCGAGGAAATGGCCAGAAGTTATACCAGAGGAGGTTTAGGTTGGATATTAGGAGAAACTTTTTCTCTCAAAGGGTGGTCAGGCACTGGAATGGCTGCCCAGGGAGGTGGTGGAGTCGCCGTCCCCGGCAGTGTTCAGGAGGCATCTGGATGAGGAGCTACGAGAGATGGTTTAGCAGCTTGTGGCACTGATAGGAATGGGAGGGTGGTTGGACTAGATGATCTTGCAGGTCGTTTCCAACCTTGTGATTCTGTGATTCTGTGATTCATATTAAGGCAAAAATGAGTAAATGTGACAAAGATAATGACCAGACTGTAGCTTATTATGATATAGGCTTTCCATTTCATTTCTAGGTTCATATCTATATAATATCAATTTACTTGAAGAAAAGTGAAAGGCCCTGATTGATACAGAGAGATCAGTAACTCCTCTTCAATGTAAAACCATAACATATTTCTGGAGCAATGCCTAAGACATTTGATAATGTCTGTCTTCATGTGCTTTTCATACTGCTTTTCTAAGCACTGTTCTGATCTGCAAGGTCGAACTGATTCATAGGTTTAATGAACTTGTGAGGAAGCTCTAAGATTATCCACCCTGACCCTACTGATAGTGCAGGCCAAAAGAATTTCACCCTCTAATTCTTGCAAGATGCATTATATCTTGTGAGAATATTGTGATTACAGCATTCCAAGGAATAGAGAGAGAATTTCTGTGGTATTTTAATAAAACCATGCAGTAAGAAGAAAGGATCATGAATAATGAGATTGAAAAGTGTGTTACTCCCATAAGAAACAGGTAATTATCTTCTAACTAGAGGTAGTGTAGAAGTCTATGTGATTTTTCTACTGCCTTCAAGGTAAAGGAATATTACATTCTGTAATGAGTGTTCCTGTCCTCTATTGAGGTCTAATTGAATCCAAGGATGCTCACCAAACACTGAATGTTACAGCCCTGTGCTCAACCCTAGCTGTAATCCCATTTTAGCTGCCCATAATATGCATCAGATGTAACTGTGGGAAGGATGAGAAATTATGAGCAGTGAATCCAGCTTCAGTATAAAAACAGCTTGGACAATTCAACAGCATCAAAATCCAGCATGCTTAGTGTTGAAGAAACATTGTCACTGCTCCTGGGTGTAGCAGTAAGGCAGGCACCCATGTCCCCCTCAAACTATACAGATAGGTTAATGACAAGAACCCTACCAATGCAGCACTACAGCAGAAATCTCTGTACGTAGCTTGTCAGCAAGCAACTCAAAAGATAAAAACCAAATTACCAATATGATTATCCTGTGTTGGCTGTAATTATGATTTCTCTGTGAGGAAATAGTGCTTTTGATGTAGCACCTTCTTCCACATAGGGAAGTAGTGTAAATTATAATGACAGCTGCAGTCTTGCAAGTGTAACCCATGTTTACTTGTGGCAGCAGACAAGCACATTTGTCTTAGGACACTCAATAATTCTGACTAAGGAGTTATAGTATGTTAGCTCTGACTGCAGCTATAACAAAACTAACACAGGGGAAGACTGGGTGCTTCACTAAATGCCTCACTATTATTTCAGTCTTATCCAAGCAGTGAGTTTTAATAAATCTTGATATGAGGCTTTAGTGTAATGCTCATTTCCTTGTTTAGTTGCACAGAGTTTAGCAAAAGGCTTCTCTAGCACAAACGTGGGAAGTGATTAAGGTTTCTTGGAATGCTACTCAGAAAAAGAAAGCTATCAAAAAGTAAGTGGAGAAATTACAGCTTAAAATCTGCTAATAATCTATGTCTAGACCTTCCCCAGCACAGAAAACTACCACATATGGAGTAGGAATGTGCCCTAACTTTAAGCTTTTACCTCTGCCTATATTTTCCCATCATTTAAATGAAAAGAAAATGAATTTTTAAAAGAGAGAGGACCTGAATACCCCGTGGAATAATGAGAATAATGGAGTCTGTGTGCACTAAACACAGATTGTGTTAGTAATGAGTAGAAGACTAAAGCCCTGGACTGCTACAGGTTCTGTTTAGATTATGCTTGCACTGGACTGCCAAACCCCAACATACATCATTTCATATGTTGGCACAATATTTCAATTGACAGATATTCTTCATTTGATTGTGTTTTGAGACAGCTCCTTGCTAAATGCATAGTTCAGTTATAGGTGAGGTTCTGCCTCCACTCTCAAAAGTACAGATGAGGGTTAACACTAACAGGTTCAGAAGTTTCCACTCACCAGCTACTAGTTCCTAACTCCACTCTGTATTTCACTCCTCCTCTCTTCTCTTCACATTGCTATGCTGTAACCAGATCATTTTAATAGCTGGCTTATACAGTAGCCTTACAAGAACCTCTACTGGTACAGGTGAATACCCCTCTAGAACGAGAAGTAATGGCCTTAAGCAGTGTCAGGGGAGGTTCTGTTGGAAATTAGAAAAAAATTATTCTCAGAAAGAGTGTTGAGGTATTGGAACAGGCTGCTCGGGGAGATGGGGAACTCACTGTCCCTGGAGGTGTACAAGAAACATGAGATTGGCACTGAGGGACATGGTTAGTGGGCATGATGGGTTGATGGTTGGACTTCATGATCTTAGAGGTCTTTCCCAACCTTAATGACTCTGTGGTCCTATTTGCAGTCCCAGCACCCTGGGGTTTATGTTCACGGAGCATCATAAGGGACATCACACAATCCTACTAAGAAAGATCTCAGCATTGAGAAATAAAGCAACAAAATTGGGACCTGGACACAGTTGTCCAGCAAGATGTCAGACTAATCTGCAGACCCTGATCCTGGCAAACAATATTTGCTTTTTTGCCTGTGCCTGGAGGTCAAAACATTAATGATCTTACCCCTTGTTGGCTTTTTTAATTTTACTCTTTCTTCCATTCCAAATGTGAAAAGCATAACATTGGGAAAAAGCAAAAGAAAAGATTAAACCACCTCAATATTCAGACAAGTAAAATCACTACAGGGTTTTACTGCAGTACTTCAGAAGGGAAGGATTATTTCTGCCAGTATTTCAAATGCATTTACACAACAGCATTTCCAACAACCATTCCTATTAGAAAATTTATTCCAACCTTTCCTTATTTCCCTTGCAAAAGAATTTGACAACATGACTCTGTACAGTTTTGCGGTAGGCCTTGATGCATGCACAGAAAACGAATCAGATTAGCAGTTTGCATTTTCCCTCCTCACAGTTGTTTTTCCACTCTGTTATTAACAGTGCTAAATGAAAACACTGTTAAAGTCAAAACACCAAAATGTGGTGGAGTGGAAAGACGTATTTATTCCCATATGCGAAGGGTGAGACCTTTACGATTCATCAAAGCCTCACACTCATTTGAGTTATAGGTCTTGCCACTTACTGCTAAGGACAGATGATGCATAACCCCTCTGCAACCTATTATGCACTCAGTTTCTCTCATATGCTCACTCTGTTCCCCTTCAGCACACTCCACTGTGGCACAAACACTCAGGACAAATGAATCTGCAGAGGCCTACGGTTTCAACCTCTTTACAGCATGCTAATTAACTACTTGTAATTACAGTGGCAGGTAGTACATCACATAGAGGGAACTGGCAGCCCCCCTAGGATATAAAAGGAACACAGATTTCTTTTTTTCAATAGTAAGTTTATCTAAGAATTCTGCTTCAATAGATTGAGAACGAAGTGAATGGGTTGAAATCTTACAAAGATATTAGCATTTCTCATTGCTTTGACTTATGTGAAAAGCTGTCTAATGTGTGTTTTGGTTTTGTTATTTAATGCAGTGATTTGTTCACTTAAATAGTTGGAAAATACATGGTATGGGTGTTTTAATACATCTGGAAAGGTAGCTTGGTTTGTATGGAGTGAGAATAAGGTATCAGCTATGGGATTCAACCCATGATCTAATTCCAGATTTCCAACAGCCATACAGCATAGACATCAGCTCACAGTTGCAGCTTTCAGATGAGCTTTCCGTAGGTTCATAAGAGTGAGGAAAGCTCATTTTAAGGTGGCCCAGGGCACAGCCATAAATGCAAACCCATTTCCATGTGTGGATGGGGATTTTGGCATGTTACACTGCACTGGGTCATGCTGTGTGGCACCTGCTGCTTCTGTGTATCCCATCTGGGCGTGAGATTACAACAGATGGCCAGGAGAGGGGAAAAAATGCTTATTCAGAATTCTGCATAGAAAAGCTGCAGTGTCACTTGCTCTAATAGTTGGCAGCCAGAGCTCAGACATTCTTACGGAACAGGACAATAAGAGCAAGTCATAGCTGTCTTGGCAGGATGGCAACGTTGGACTTGAAGAACTAGTCAGCAAAACATAGCTTTCTTCATAGCAGGATGCCTGAAAGACAGTGTAGATGTAGCCTTTTCAAATCTTTTTTACTTCTCTCTCTACAAGCTTTACATGAGATAGGAGCTGTCTCCATTTCATACTTCGAAACATATGAACATACAAATGAGGATGCTCATCACTCATTGGATGAGATATGCCACATAACAACAATGTCTGAGTAAGGAAAGGCAAAGGTACTACAGAGGATCCTGGCAGGGTCTGCTGTTATCATCGATGAGATATGAATCTGAAGATTGTGCTATTACCCATAGCCATTACCCACACCTCCCAAATGGTATTCAACGTTAACTATGATAATCCTTCAAAAAGGGTAAGAAATAATTCTGATAGCAATATCTGACAATTTGTCTAAAATAAATAGGTGTCACTGAAGTTCTTTTTCTCTATACCTGGGCCAAGTTTCATTCAGCATCATTTCCCCTTCAAATATCCTCTTAATTGAAAGCTCTGGAAATTCCCTCTCTTTTTTATGAATTATGGTGCCTAAATGAAACCATTCCTGTGAATGACAAGATTTGTATACTGTACATTTAATAAGGCTGTTGTAACAGATGAGACAACTACATTAGTTTGGACAGTAGTTTTACATCTTATGTACTGCAGCATTAACCTTCACTGCACTCAGTGAATGGAACTCTCAGAAATGGAACTCACCTGCTTTCTGTGTTAATCAGGGGGAAGCTGTGGTCTTGGGTGACACTCTTTCCACCTGAGACCAGAGAACTATGTGTTGTTGGCTCCAATAATTGTTGCTGGGAGCTGCCTGGTGCAGGAGTGATTCCAAGGTCCCTGGAAAAAAAAGCACAAAAAGAAAATAGAGGGCTTGTTACAGGCTTTTATATACTCTGACAGAATAGTTAGTGCTTAGCTAGCTCATCAGATGTGTCTGGATAAAGGGGAGAACTATCTCCAGTAGAAGAGAAGCAGGAATAAGCAGTTGAGATAGTAGTCCAGGTTCTGCTTAGAGCCAGTGGAAAGGAACAGTCACATTTATGGCGATTGCAGTATTGACATCACTTCATTTATAGACTTGAACCATAGAATTACTTGAGTTGGAAGGGACCTTTAAAGGTCATTTAGCCCAGCTGCCCTGCAATGAAGAGGGATACTTAGTCAGGGACACTGCAGAACTAAGACCAAGCACAAGCAGCACTGAAGACTGCCAGAAATAAGACATTCCCAATGAAATGCTGAATTTAAAATTGCACCTCTTAGGAGATTCCATACATCTACTCTACTAGAGCCATCCCACTGACACAGCTTAACGACCTCAGAAGGAATCAATGTATTTCTAAGGGCTAAGAGGCCATTTAACTTCCGCATTTTCTGCTTTCCCTAGGAAGCTTGTTAAGAGCATTTTTAATCACAGCAGCAACTGCTGAATGCTTGCTCCATGGCAGAAACGAGGTTTCAAAGAATCAGTGGAAAAGACCACTAAGATCATGTCTGACCATCAGCCTGTCCCACTAACCATGACCCTCAGTGCACCATCTCCATGCTTCTTGAACACCTCCAGGGATGACGACTCCCATCTTCACAATTTCAAAGTTTAAATTTATTTAAATCTTCCCATGCTTCAAGCTTTTGTTTCATTGTCATCCACTGCTGGCTAGCAACAGTTTGTTCATTATTGGCTCAGATAAAAACCTGAACCAAATTCATGGAAAAAAAGGGTCCCTAGAGCTACTGAGTGCTCTCAGAAATCAATTTGTGTACATCAGCATAATGGAAATAAAAATTAAAAAGAAATTAAGAAATTCTTGTAACAGAGAACTTTGGTCAATGGAGGGTAGAAGACTAAGGCAGAAGTCTGAAGGCAAACTTCAAGGCCACACCTCCAAGGACTGGATCCCCACAACAAAATGGTCTCTACTATTTGGAGTAAAGCTTGGTATACACAACCTATGATCAACTCAGAAGCTACATCTCAGCTGAAAAATAAATTTAAACCAATCTATCAGACAGTTAAGGAACACAGGCATTTTTAAAGTTGAAAGGGATGTTTTTCCACTACCTACCTGTGTGCCAAATGTCTTCTTCACACTTGGTCTTGAGTTTTGTACTGTTGTTAGAGGTTTATAAGGCTTAGTGTAGCTCTAATTGCACTAGTATGCCTCAGATCAAATGAAAAAAGGAAATTGGTTGATATGATTTAAATAGCTCCCATGTAGTTCATACCCATGTAGTTCTGTCCTAGGTTTGTCACTGGCATGGGCATAAAAGCAAAACTGAAAAGTGAAATTATATTGAAGTCAGAAGCTGGCCAGACAGCAGGGTCTGCAAGACGTGTATGCTACATGCATGCAAATCTTATGCTTATAGCAAGCAAATCCAGCCTGAAGAGAGTGTCAACCACAGGTAGACCACGCACCTTTGCTCTTCCAGTTCTGGCAGGGAGCTCTTTTGAGACTGTAAAGTGTATGAATCTCCTCCAACTCAGAAACATGAGTTCACAGGTTACAAATTTTCTGCTTGGAGATGTTTGCTCTTGCTTACTTCAGTTCTTTCAGCAACATTCCAAGAAAACCAACAAGTTCATCATTAGACAAAGGTCTGATCTGAATGAGACTTCACCCCAACTCCTTATTTATTACCCTCAGCCACAGAGACAGTGAAATTATTCAGATCAAACCACGAAACATTGCCCTTACATTGTATCAGGCAATGAGACATCAGAATGACTTTAATTACACACAGCCGCAGGCAGAAAAAAAAAAGGCCAGGTTTTCAGTAATTTAGATTTAAGAATCCAAATTTATGTAGATAACCCTGTGGGGTTGCAATAAATAAAGCAGGATGGATGCTTGTGTGACACCACTTTTAAAATTTTCTAATGCATGCTTTGGAAAATTGAGCAATATATATCAGTCTGGATTAAAATGTGCAATGGAGAGATTAAGCATTAAAGAATCTTTTAATATTTACTGATATATGAGAAATTCAAAACATTTAGTACCTTAAGAACTTTTTTGCATCTATCACTCTTGGCACCAGTTTGATATATCTCCCAGTATTTAGATTCACTCCTAGCTGAAGTAGGGTTTTCATTCTCTGCAATAGCACTGCTCAGAAGCAAGTTGACATGCTTCTGTCCTCCACCATTTTGGGTCCACAGCTACTCACTCACCCTCCCAGTCTGCTGTCAGCATCACACCAGCATGATTAATTATTCTGCAAGTGAGTGAAATGGATTAGAGGACTGAGCAAAAACAAAACCAAACCAACAAAATCCACCAAAACTCACCACCTTTTTTGGCTTTGCAAAACCTATGGCAGCAAGTTTCCTACATTTAGGTGCTGGAACAGCTGCCCAGAGAGCTTGTGGATGCCCCGTCCATCCCTGGAGGTGTTCAAGGCCAGATTGGATGGAGCCCTGGGCAGACTGGTCTAGTATTAAATGGGGAGGTTGGTGGCCCTGCCTGTGGTAGAGGGGTTGGAGCTTTGTGATCCTTGAGGTCACTTCCAACCCTGGCCATTCTGTGATTCTGTGATTCTGTGATTAAGACTCATCTGCTAAAAGCCTCTGTAAGGTCAGAGACGTTACCAGCAAAAGAAATTATTTTTACACAAACAGCAGATTAGGCAGACAGATTTTATGCACTGCTGCTGACAATGGAAATTAAAAAAAGGTGTCTCATATTCTAAAAAGAAAAAAAAATAAAAATAAATTTAGGACAACGCTGATGAGATTCAAGCAAAAAAAGCAAGTGTTTTTCAAAAGCAGATTTCAAACAGCATGACTTCTGTCCTATTTACATAGCCGAGTAAAAAGAGAAAGAAAAACCTCCAAATGAAATAGCTTAAAATAAGTATTTTTCCATGAGAGAGAAAAACCTGATGAGTACTGAAGACAAGGTGGATCTAGACATAATAGTGAGATGAGATGTCTAACCTGAATGCCTATTGCAATTCGACTGCATGAAAGGATTGATGCCCATTTTTAGTATCATATACTGAGACAATAAAGTGGTGTGCCTCAGACATGCTATTGACTTTTATTTGCCTGCACTTCCAAGGACGTTTAATGTTCTCTGGTCAATTTTGAGAGTTAATTAACAAATTAGAGAGAACTAACAGTAACATTACTGAATTTACTAAGCACAGGCTTGCAGAGAAAGGTGAAAGGACATGGATTTGAAGGGTGGACTGTCAGGTGCATAAACAATTGGTTGAATGGTTGCAGCCAGAGGGATTTAGTCAATGGTTTGATGTTCAGGTGGAGGCAGTGTGATGAGAGGTGTCCTCTAGGGGTCCCTAGGGGTCCATCTTGGGAACAATGCTCTTCAAGACCTTTATCAATGACATCAGTGACGGAATTGAGTGTACCCTCAGCAAGTTTCTGATGACAACACATTGAGTGATGCAGTTGACGCAACAGAAGGAAGGGATGGAATCCAGAGTGACCTGGAGAGGGTTGAAAAGTGGGCCCCATGAGAACATAATGAACTCTAACGAGGCCATATGCAGAGTGTTGGGTTGAGGCAATCCCAGATATGTCTACAGATTGGAAAAAGAAATAATTGCAAGCAGCCCTGATGAGAAGGACTGGGGGTTCTAATGGACAAAAAAGCTGGACGTGAGCCAGCAGTGTGCTCTTGAAGCCTGGAAGGCCATCTGCATCAAAAGAGGGGAGGCAGCAGGGTTAGGAGGTGATTGGCTCTCTCTCCTCTGTCCTTGTGAGGCCCCATCTGGAGTACTGCATCCAGGTCTGGGTCTCTCAGTACAGTAGGAATGCAGACCTTCTGGACTGGGGCCAGAGGAGGGCCATGAAAATAATCAAAGGGCTCCACTACCTAATAGTTACATTCCAGGAATCAGATTCTCTCTCAGAATTTAAATCATTTTGTAACATTTACATTAATGGCATTTCTTGACTTCTTGCATGGAATGGTGCGTTGTCTACTCTTGCCTCCAATTCTGCTGAGTGCATCTATCCCTTGAGGCCTGGTAATTGCAAACACTGATTGGGAGTGACAGGATTTTCTCTCACCTGCCTGACAGCTCTGCTGAAACAGCTTCATATTTAACTCCTCAACCAGTTTCCTTGGAATGACTATTATGGAATAGAGGCTGCAAAGAGCAATGGATGCAAGAGAACAGTTTACACTGCCACACTAAATCAAAACCAAAACATCCAGCATAAGGAAACACTGATTTCCATTTTTCTTCTCAGTACAACATAGTTTAAATGAATGAGTGGAAAGAAAAGTCTTCCTTCAGCTACTTAAAAAACTTTTCTTTAAGGTTTAGAAAATGTTTCATAATTATGCATCTCTGCTGTAAGCTTCTGACACTGTTTTTTCTAAAGATAGTTTAACCCACTGATTTGTTTCTTTCCTTATTTATTTTTAAAGAATCAATTTTCAGTCTTCATTACAAAAAAGTTGATATGTGTAATTAGTGAACTGAAAGTCTGTTCTATTCATTTTGATAGGTGCTGATATGGAGGCCCATGTGCTACTTTTAAATGTCAACAGTGTGATTAGCCTTTTCACAACAGGTAGGAGAAGCAAGCAAAAAAGAATCCAAAATAGGAAGATTTGCAATGGTATTTATCAGGGAAAGGAAGAGCTACCAGAAAAGGCCAACCAAAGAAAGTACACTAAGATTTACAGACTTAACACTATTTTTGCAGGGCTGTGACTATAAGAAAAGGCAGAAGGGACAGTAAAGATATGATTCACCTTCATTAAAGAAAAAGAGCCAGAAAATGGAGTCAGCTTTCAGAAATTCTGCTTTAAACAAAAGTATGCACACAAGTGCACTGCAAAGAACCTCGTGCTGAGCAAGGTCACTAATCACCAGAAGCACTAAAAAACATCTTGGAGACTGTGCACTGCCAGAAGCAGTATGTTTTCAGTATGTAAATGGAGGCTATGAGAAAGAAGGGGATAGAGTCTTTAGCAGGGTCTGTTGTGATAGAACAGGGGGAAATGGTTTCAAGCCTAAAGAGGGGAGATTTAGGCAAGATATAAGGAAAAAGTATTTTACACTGAGGGTGGTGAGGCACTGGAACAGGTTGCCCAGAGAGGTGGTGGATGCCCTGTCCCTGCAGACATCCAAAGAGTAGAGCTGGAGTAGGCTCTGAGCACCTGATCTAGCTGTAGATGTCTCTATTCATTGCAGGGAAGCTGGACTAGACGAGCTCAAAGGATCCCTTCCAACTCAAATGATTCTGTGGTTCTACATTACCTTTGAAACAGCTGGACATACGCACTAGGAGCCTTTCCTGACAGAGCCTGATGTGCTGCAGCATGACGTCTTCGGAGAGAAGCTTCTTCCTGATGAAGAAATACAACCAACTTCACACAGGAACTTAAAGGTATATAGGGTAACTTAATTGGTTGTGATATTCCTCTCTATTGTTAAGTTTCTAAAATGTATGCATTTATTCTGGGAAAACAGAGTTTCACTGTAAGTAACAAGATGCTAAGTATAATTCACCAATGTATACAAAGCAAATTTTGGTCTGAAATCCTGTAGGCTTTGAATAATGAAAATATTCATCTCCAGTGAAGCCCTATTTCTTCATACAACATTCAAAACTGCCAGGACGTAGCAGGAAGGAGTATCTGCAGAGAACTACTTCTGATGCATTCCTACCTCACAGTATAACAGAGCTGGGATAATTCAAGGTATGCTCTTGTCTTCAGCTTGTTTTCACCAGCAAGTAGTTGAAATCAAAAAAACTGCTTCTGCTACAACTTAAATACATCAGCTTTCTCTCTTTGCTCCAACAATAATGAAAACCCGTGTTTCTTTCTATATAAACCAATAACCAATATTTCCCTCTCAGAGTTGGAATTAACCAACTGAAATTTGCGTAAGGTAAAATGATTCCATACAACGAACACATTATGATCTTAGCAGACTGAAAAATATGGTCTTGATTTTCAAGGGTGTGTTAATTAACATGTGCTGTGCACAGTGTAATTTCTCAGGTCAGACAAACACCGAACAACAGCGTGCTTAAAAAATGAAACGTAAATCTCAGAGCAAAGTTATTACATCCTGCTTTGTTATCAATTGATAGCCATCGATAGTTATCAATTTAACAGCTAAATCACATGTCTGTAACAGAGGTGTTTTGTTATGGTATGAGGAATGAAAGAGAATACAGTTAATCTGCTAACAGCTCACATGATGACTACTGCGAATTCCTGCACTTTCTTTCACTATCACGATAAATAAGGGTCTGTTTAAAAGCTCACTGAGCTTGAGTTATGTTTTGCTTTCTTTTGGTAAAGATGCAGCTCCATTCCTGTTTTTGTTGGTGTGGATTACAGGCATGGATTCCTTTATGTTCATCCCTTATATAGTTAATTGCAGCTACGTGACATTGGTGCAGGTTTGGCATGCTCACAAGGGAGAAGGCTGTAGGGAATCAGATCTGCTGTCTTCCTCTAAGCAGCAGACTCTGCTTCTTAATTTGCTCATGGACAACTCACATCCATGATTTCTTCTTTTTATTTTTTACTTTCTCATTCTACATGATGGGAGTGGAATGTAGTTACTGCAGTGACAGCAAATTATTTCAGTGCTTAAAGTAAAAAAAAAAGAAAAAGCATAGTCTCAAATGTAACAGTTTAGACAAAATTTTACTTTAAAGCCACAGACATATTTATATTCTTCTCATTAAATACAGTCCAAGAGGCACCTGTGTTTCACCTTGGATGTTTTACTACATTCACACTTCAGCTGATGCTATAAAGCTTCCTCTGCACATAAAAATGTGTTGGAAACTTAGCATAGTAAATAACTAAAAGTTATTACCAGCATTGAACAAGGAGACTAATAAGAAAGAGAGCCTTGCAGCCACGAAGTAAGTAGAACCCACATTAAATGATAGCCTACTTCATCATAAACCACTTCTCCCTGACTTGACAAAATGTAAACGTTCAAGATAATATTAAAAAAAAGATGAAATAAAAAGTGAGAGAAATAAATTGCTGGGGCAGGAGAGCTGTCAGAGAGCCACCAAGTTAAAAATTCTGCTTTCTGTCTCACCTTAAACTAACAAACCTTTACATGAAAGAAACATGAAAATGAACAACACTTGTGACAGTTTTTGAATTCTGCAAGGCTTGAACAGAGGCATTTCATTTCACAGAATTGGAAGATAGGAGGTTCCTTATTTATGTCAGCCGTTTTACCATCATACCCTTCCCCACACTCAAGAGAGCCTTTTTTAAACCCTAGGAAGCCCAGGAGGGGGTCTTCTACTTTGCTCCATCTAGAACACTAATTCTATACATCAGAGGTAGTTATAAATATAGAGATAGTAGCAAAATTGTGCAGCAAGTCATCCTGCGCAGCCATCATTCATCATAATGACATCATAAACCTGGAATGGAACAAAGTTTAAAGCCTTCATTTTTCTTTTTCTCTTTCTCCTGTCATTGACATATAAAAAGAGCATTAGACACATCTGCTTCGTAGTCTCAGCTCCCCCACTGCCTGCAAGGAGAATGAATACCTTTAGCGAAAACACTATTGAGAAGGAAAAAAAAAAAAAAAAAGAGATGAAGCCAAAGTTGCAAGAGGTTATTTGAAATCCAAGCACACTGTTGGATCTGTTGATTGAAAAAGTGAAAGCAGGTGAAAAATGTGCTTAAATTTGATCCCTGGCAGTCATTACCAGCACTCACTCTGAGACACTTGGCTGAATGAGTTTTTCCACTGCCACGGAATGGCATTCATAAGTAATCTTCATTGCCCTATGAACTGCATCTAACTGTTTGCTCTGAACAGGATGGTTTCAATGTTATGTAACAGAACTGAGAGAGATGCTATTCAGCTCCCTTACATCAGGGCATAACTGGATGAAATCCATTATGATAAATGGTTTTATTTTGGTGTGAAATTGAGCAGATAAGTTAGCCTTACTCATCTGCCTTGAACTCTAGGTAACTTGTAAATGGTTGGAAGGAAAGATAGCCAGAGAACAGAATTTAATTCTTTTCTGGAGAAAGAAAAGTCTGATATACAAATAGGTTTTTTTCCATATAAGTTACTTCTATCCTAAGACTAGAGCAAATGCTACTTACCACAGCGCTCAGTTGTGCAGTAAGTTTGTCTAAAGTCTCTCCTGAATAATTTTTGGCAGAAGAGTCCAAGAATTCATTGATAGTTGAAGACTGAGTACTGCCAGTCACTCCTCTGCTGGGTGACAATCTTTGCTCTTGCAAGAAATGTACCCTTGAACCTAATATGGAAAAGACACTTCTCAAAAAATAAAATTCTGAACAGCACTTTGCTTACAGCAGTCAGAAAGAACCTGGACATTTGCAGCTATGAACTGGCTTTCGGTACCATTTTGGATTTACAAAAGATAACTGAAAAGGTTACAAAGGATATAAACCATTCCAAGCTAACTGAAATCCACTTACTTAGGAATTTTTTACTTTCTTAGAGTGGTCAGAATGTGATAGGGAGCTAGAATGGGACATCTGTTCATAGAATCATAGAATGGCTTGGGTTGGAAGTGACCCCAGGGATCATCAAGCTCCAACTCCCTGCCACAAGCAGGACCACCAACCTGTAGAGCTGGTACCAGACCAGGCTGTCCAGGGCCCCATTCAACCTGGCCTGGAACACCTCCAGGGATGGACAGGGCATCCACAGCCTCTTTGGGCAGCTGTTCCAGTACCTCACCACTCTCTCTATGGAGAGCTTCCCCCTGACATCTGAATTTTTTTCTGTTACTTCTCTAAAGTTTAAAAAACAAGAAATCCAAAGACTTGTAATATGCTGTACTGCAAGGAATCAAACAAAAATGTAAGTTGAAAATACAGGTAACGCCTTCATTTTTAAATTTTTTTCAAATTTGAGAAATCTGTAAGCTGGAATGGGTGAATAGATGGAAGATAGCTGTCCTGTACCTGGAGCTATTCAAGGTCAGGCTGGACAGGGTGCTGAGCAACCTGATCCAGCTGTAGGTGTCCTTGTTGATTGCAGGGGAGCTGGACAAGATTGTCTTTAAGGGTCCCTTCCAATTCAAACAATTCTATGACTTATTCTGTCTATAAAGTAATATCTAAATATTACACTCAATCACAGAAAAATATCTAATATTGGTACATGGCGCATTTTGTAGAAATTCAATCATTTCTTACTGTAAATTCAATCATTTAATCTTACTGTACTGTGTGTCATATCATATATTATCACACACAATCGGGATAGATGAGAGTCAAAAAGATATCCAATCCATTTGCATGTTCATATGTTAAATATGGTTACTTTTCTTACTATATGCACCTATTAAAAAAAAGTTTCAACAGTCATCAGATGACTTTGAGCCCAGCCATTAAATATATACTGCTGGCTTGTAGCTGGCAGGAAGTCTGGTGTTAAAAACAGAGGAGACAAGACGTGAGATTGGTAGGCTCTGTTTCACTCACAGTAAATCACTCATTTTGACACTGAGTAAGTGGTGGACTCTAACCTTCAGAAGCACAGAGCTTCACAACACAAAAAATTCTGTGGGCTTGCTGGTGCCCAGCATCACAAATAATCAGTCTTTAACGCAAATGTTCCTTTACTCACTTGTAAAATACAAATAGTAACACATACTCTACAGGACTGCTGGAGGAAATAATTAATAGTTGTATAGTACCAAGTTCTGTGGATGAAAGCTGATAACACAAGTACAAAACATTATCAGTCCTGCACTGTATTATATTTCTCCTCTAAAAAGTTTCTAAAAAGAAGAACTTATCTATTTTCTCCCAGTATTTTCACTTTGCATATGAGCAAAGGATCTTGCACAGCAGTTCATTAAAAAGAGAATTAACAACCTATCATAATCTCACACAACCAATCTTCCCCCTGCTTCTATCTTACTAAAAATGTCCATTTAAAGACAACCTTGAGGCAAGTTTTTAAAAATAAATTATTTCACACAGTCCATAAGAAGGGATGATCACTAGAAACAGGATAGTTAAATTCATTTAAACACCTATAAATGAAGCTCCAAATGAATTTAATGGTGCATAGTAAATTTCAAAGTTGCTTTATAGACAGTAGAATTACCAAAATGTAGCACTGTTAATGAAGTTTCTGTAACTAGTGACAAGCCACTCACAGAAAGAACTCTGAGGAATACAGAGACCTTTAAAGAAACCTCACGTATGTACACACACATCTTCAAAAATGCAATTGCATACAAATCTTTTGTCTTCATACCTTTTCCTTTTTGTCCTGATAATCTAGTTAGGGCTTGGTGGGTTTTATTGCCTCTCAGGACAAAACATCTCCAGTGATTTTAAGACAAATAAGTACCAAAACTATAGGCAGTAAGGCAAGGAATTCCTCCCCTCTGACTTCAAACAAATACGCAAGCTCTGGAAATAAAAATTAAATCTATATAGATAAGATTAAATAAGATTCTTCAGAAAATGTGCTCACTGTTACAGCACTGGGACACCACAATATGCATAGGAGCTTTTCCGTCCCCCCCTGGGAAATCAGTATTTATTAATTCTTTCAGGATACAAAATTACTTGAAATGATGAACTGATGAATTTTGCACTATCCTTCATTAACATTTTCAAACGTTTTTGCCCTCCTTCATCTACTTTTATTTGCAGCCTTCTGAGCCACACAGAAGGTCATGAATATTGGCTCTATGTAACTTCAGAAACTAATTACTCTCCTATTGCAATGGATCTAACCAAGAGAGCCATAAACCACAGAGGTTCTTAGAGGTAAGAGTTCACATAAATGAGCTTGTTGTTAGTCTCTGTTGTGTAACATCTTACTGCTGTGATATCTCCTTCTTATTTCTTTTTCTCCCATACTTTAGAGACTGTATTCTTCTGCTTTTATCTCAGCTGGTAACGTGTCCTGTTTGGAATAAATCATAAGTAGAACTGGGTTCTCATAAGCTAATCTTAGGACTTCTCTCTGACGAGAGCAGTCCTTTCTTCTTCTAGAAGCACTCGTGAAGCTCTTCTCCCCTACCCTTTTCTCCTTGAGCCAATCCTATAGCTACACAATGAGGTTGATCAAGGAATTAATCTGTCTGAAAGTCAGGTGTGTTCTTTTCTGGGTTAGTTTTTGGAGGAATTATATGTGACTGCACTATCAGGGGAATGAGAGCAAGGAAGGACTAGAAACGTACAGGCAGGAGAGGTAAGTTGGGCAGAACTCTTTTTGCAGCAGCATGTGTTTGGGTTAGCCTGAAGTGATCAAGAGGCTTCATCTTCAGTTATTCAAGTAGTTAAAGGGTTCTTTTAAACACAGCGCCAATCATCTGGGTTTATGCTGCAGTGGGTAACCCCAAAAGCACTTGGAGTGAATTTTTAAGATGCCTTCACTCATCTTACTATCCTGGTATTCATATATCTCTTCATGCTTCTGGCTATCCTGAGGGAAAGAGAAAACTAAGCTCTCAGTGCTATGCCCTTTTCTTCTTGTTCAAGTTTGATAGGCACAAAGCTCTCAGCCAGGGACACATATCCAGCTTGTGATTCATCTGGAATGAATGGGAGATCCTCAGCCCAAAAGCATCCTCAGAAGAGTCTGGTAACTTTACTTTCTGCATATTATTGCCTCAGGGCACACAGCAGTATAAAATACCAAGAAAGATCTCCATTAAAGATTTACATCCCAGGGAGGAAACAGCCCAGGAGACCCATTACAGAGAAACACACAAAGCTTTCGGAGGCAAGCGGTCTCACAGGTTGCATCATTCACAGATTTTAATTCTCATAACAAATAAGCAGGAATACTCTACTGATAAAAGCAGAAGTAGCATGTGCCCAGACACAGTACCTGTTCCTGCTTTGCTATTCATGTTTTGACTGCTATCAGAAACTGCAGGTGGCTCCAGACCCAGGCATGCCTTTATCAGGAAACTCAGCTCTGCAAATGCCTCATCCAATTCATCTGCAGAAAGGGATAAGCATTTGGTGAAAAAACAAGCTTCCATCAGAGCAAAGTCACAAATCACAGAAAATGCAATCTTAACTCATGCATTCTTAACTCATCCAGCTCATCTCTGAAAAATCTTCCTCTTCATAAGCAGCACATTCAAGCAAATAATCTGGAATTCAGCTTGAAGTTTCTACACTCTATGCTACAGTTTGGTTCACTGTGTTTTAGGGTGGGTTTTTTTATGCTTTATTTTAACTGTAAGCTCCATAAACCCTTGACAATGACTACAGATAATGTTTTTGTTACCACTATGATATAAATATTTCACCATCACTGTGATGAACTGAAAAGTGACCTCAACAAAAGGGCACACGCTGAATGAATTAGAGAAAGATTCCTCTCCACCTTCTGCTGCCCTCAATCCCTTAATATCAAGAAGCAAACACTGGTTTTAATGAAATATTGACCACTCATGCATTGCCTGTCTCAGGCTGGAAGACTTGAACAAGTTACTAATTAGAAGAGTCCGACAAGGAAAATCATTGCAGCAGCCTCTCCTTTATAGCAAGATGCATATCAGCCGTCAATTCAACACTTGAAAAAGTCTATCTGGTCCAGAGATAATTAGATCTGTTAGGTCAAAAGCTCCTCTGACCTCTACTCAGAAGCTAACAGACAATTAACATAAATCACTGAACATCTGTTTGACATTCTTACAGGAGACAACTCTTAGTGTTGCTGAGTTCAATTATTTGGTTTCCTTTCTAGATGGCCTTGAGACAACTTGGACACAAAATAATTCACTCCTGACAAATCTCCAGAGTGTTTGGATTCCCGGGACAAAAATGAACACAGCAAATCAATGATGGGATCCAGCTGTTGTTGTAACAGTCCATTTAATGCTGTAACATGAGAAGTCAGGTTTAAAGTATAAAAGAGATTAACTCACCTGTGCTGATTACCGCATCAAAGTATCCTGGGATATCCTCACTTGTTCTGAGGTACATGTCCACTCTGGATACTGCCTCTTCTATCTCTGGCCTGCTGAATAATCCTGTCCTTCGCAGATGTCCCTCATATTTTACTTTGTTCATTGGTACCACCAGGATATACCTGGGTTTAAAGTAGGTAGTTTTCAAGCTACGCACACCCTTTAGAACGAAACAGAAAAGCACAATGTTTTTTCCTGAAACCGAGTGTCCATTGAATTCATACCTGAGCTGAGGACAACTCTGTTTATCACATAGCACTGTAAAAGCAGTACTGGTAACCTGAATCCAAGATCTCAAGATCCGGAATCCAGCTTGACAGAAGAGGTAAGTTCCAGGTGAAGTGCCACGATGTCTACATGTGACGAATGTTATAAGAATAGCACTACTTTATTCTAAACACACTTCTAAAGGAATCCCTTCGGTCAAATTCTTACAGCGATTTAAAGCATTATACTTCATCACACTTCTGATTTAGGTACCAATTCTGAACTTTCAACAGCTCTCATTTGCACCAACTCATATATCGAATAATCTTTTTTCTCTCCTTCTACATAAATAAAACAGAATACTGTAACCATGGAGTCCTATAATATGGTATTGCCACTGCTTGTGATACTGAGTTTTCAGGGCTTCAGGACTAAGGCTTGTCCTGCTCCCTCTGGACATCTCTTGACTTACCCTTATCTTTGTTTTACTTGGCTCAGCTGTGACAGCAATTTCTTTTGTTGACCAGATGTGGTATCTATCTGATTTTTGTTTCTCTTAGTGTAGTAAAACCATAGTTTTATTTAGATAGCAGTAACAAGCAATTGTTCCAGGTACTATGGGATGTTTACAACTGAACATAACAATATAGAGTAGATAAATAAAGGCCTAATACAATAGCAGAGACCTGAAGAAGCTGAGACAGGACACAGTGCAAAGGAGTACAGACACAGGACAATAGCAGATGGGGCAAAGGCCTGATAGTACAGATCTCACAGCAATAAACTGTCAGTAATAGTCATTAAAAAATGCAGATCTGGAGGTGGACAATGCTGGTTAAAGGGGGACAAATTAAAAACAGTCTGTAGCACTGTTTAATAATAGGAATCCTATATAGCCCAGAGCTGCAGACCAGCAATGAAAGAGAAAGGTATAAATGTGTGCTACTAAAAACATAAAGAAGTTCTCAAGATAATCTCAGAAAGAAAAAGAAGCTACGAGCATGAATATTCTCTGAGCAAAGGACTCAAATGTTGACAACTCATTTTAACCCCCCCCTGCTAACAACACCAAAGGCAAAACACCTTTCCCTTTTTAGGGCCAAAATTCTTCAGAGATTACAGAAGAATAGCAAAGGATTGTTTTGACCATTTTGGAAGAACACCAATATCAAGGACTGCCAACAATCATTGTATTGCACAGTGATGAACAAATTATCTTGAGAGCATACACTTACTGCACTATAGAAAATGCAGGGAAGCTTACTTTGTTTTCATTGAGGCATGCTTCTTTGCTACAGTGGGCAGGAATAGAAAGGAACTAATATGACAAAACTGAACACTGTTGTTCCATCAGAACTGAAAGCCACATGCTTAAAACTGGGGTTTCCCATGATAATTCAATAGTCAAATATAAGCCAAATTATACAACAAGCAATAACTGGCTGAACACTTACTGGTTTTTAATTTGCTTAGCTATGCTAGGTACGGAACTGTATTTCGATCCATTCAAACAAGTTTCAGGGAATAATTCTGGGGAAAATCCTATTAATTTTGGTGAAAAATGGAAGGGAGAATTTGGGGCACAAATCTTTGGCTTCTGGCTATGTGGCCACCTACAGACAGCTATGCTTGTAAATTTTCAGAGATGAAACAACTGGCAAAAAGCACCCCTACATTCAAGCCGAGGAACATCCTCCACATCTCAAGCCACACCATGAGTTATGTCTCTTTCTGATCAGGAAGTAATGTAGCAAACAATTTATATGACCACACGCTTCATTGGAATAGGAAGGTGGCACATCAGGGATGGACAGGGAAGAGAAATAAAGAAGAGATACAGAAAGTTCCTGGTGTGCCCAATAAGTTTACTACATGGAGACCATAGGTTGAGTGACTAATGTGAAATGAGAAAAAGTGACCTTTAAATAAAGAATAAGAAAATGCAGAAGTTGAAACTGTTTGAAAGCAACGAGATACTCAGAAAATTAGAAAAAAAGCATTTTGAGTTTCCTGAGATTCTATATGAGAATCATAGAATCACAGAATCATAGAATCATAGAATCACCAAGGTTGGAAAAGACCTAAAAGATCACCCAGTCCAACCGTTCACCTATTCCCAATAGCTCCCACTAAACCATGTTCCTCAACACAACATCCAGTCTTTCCTTGAACACCCCCAGGCTCGGTGACTCCACCACCTCCCTGGGCAGTCCATTCCAGTGCCTGACCACCTTTTCTGAAAAGTAATACTTCCTGATGTCCAGCCTGAATCTCCCCTGCCGTAGCTTGAAACCATTCCCCCTGGTCCTATCACTACTGACACGAGAGAAGAGGCCGACTCCCAGCTCACCACAACCTCCCTTCAGGAAGTTATAGAGAGCAATGAGGTCTCCCCTGAGCCTCCTCTTCTCCAGGCTGAACATTCCCAGCTCCTTCAGCCTCTCCTCATCAGCCCTGTGTTCCAGACCCCTCACCAGCTTTGTTGCCCTCCTTTGAACACGTTCCAGGGCCTCAATATCTTTCTTGCAGTGAGGGGCCCAAAACTGGACACAGTACTCGAGGTGCGGCCTCACCAGTGCTGAATATAGGGGAGCAATCACCTCTCTGCTCCTGCTTGCAACGCTGTTTCTGATGCAAGCCAGGATGCCATTGGACTTCTTGGCCACCTGGGCACACTGTCGGCTCATGTTCAGCCGAGCATCAATCAATACCCCCAGGTCCATTTCCTCTACGCAGTCCTCCAGCCACACCGCCCCAAGCCTGTAGCATCGCCTGGGATTGTTGTAGCCGAAGTGCAGGACCCGGCATTCGGCCTTGTTGAACCTCATCCCATTGGCTTCAGCCCAGCTCTCCAGCCTGTCCAGATCCCTCTGTAGGGCCTCGCTACCCCCAGGCAGATCCACACTTCCAGCCAATTTGGTGTCATCTGCAAATTTACTGAGGGTGCACTCGATGCCCACATCAAGGTCATCAATAAAGATATTGAAGAGGACAGGCCCCAGCACCGACCCCTGGGGAACACAACTCATGACCGGTCACCAGCTGGATTTGACTCCATTCACCACCACAATCACAGCATCATAGAATGGCCTGGGTTGAAAAGGACCACAATGATCATTGAGTTTCAACCCCCCTGCTGTGCACAGGGTCATCATCGACCAGACCAGGCTGCCCAGAGCCACATCCAGCCTGGCCTTGAATGCCTGCAGGGATGGGGCATCCACAGCCTCCCTGGGCAACATGTTCCAGTGTGTCACCTCCGTCTATGTGAAAAACTTCCTCCTAATATCTAACTTAAACCTTCCCTGTCTCAGTTTAAGATCATTCCCCCTTGTTCTATCATTATTCACCTTCATGAACAGTTGTTCCACCTCCTGTTTATGTGCTCCCCTCCAGTATTGGAAGGCCACTATGCGACTTTCTTGGAGCCTTCTCTTCTCTAAGTCAAACAAGCCCAGTTCCCTCAAACTTTCTTCACAGGAGAGGTGCTCCAGCCCTCTGATCATCTTAGTGACCCTCCGCTGGACCATTCTGAGAGCTCCAGATCCTTCCTGTTCTGAGGTCAAGAAAGGCCAAAGGGCTACCTGACTTAAAGATGCCCACCCATTTAAAGTTTCTTCAGTTAACAGCATGGGATTATGGAAAAGACATAACTAACATTTACCTAATTTCTTCTGACTCCACAGCCTGGATCTATAACCAGCATCAAATGCAAAGGAATATGATCTTAGGGAGGAGACAAGGTGTACAAGGTGGAATCATTGCCCAGTTCAAGAAAAGGGTAGATGCCACACTAAGGGACAAAGCTTACTGGGCATGATAGGACAGGTTGATGGTTGGACTAGATGATCTTTGTAGTCTTTTCCAACCTTAATGACCCTATGATTCTGCTTACAGTCCTGGGAGCATAATGAAACAGGGACAGGGAGGTGATCAGCAGGGACAGGGAGGTGATCGTCCCTCTCTACTCGGCTCTTGTGAGGCCCCATCTGGAGTACTGTGTCCAGGTGTGGAGCCCTCAGTACAAGAAAGACATAGAGATTTTGGAAAGGGTCCAGAGGAGGGCGACTAAGATGATCAGGGGGCTGGAGCACCTCCCCTACGAGGACAGGCTGAGGGAGTTGGGCTTGTTCAGCCTGGAGAAGAGAAGGCTGCGGGGTGACCTCATTGCAGCCTATCAATACCTGAAGGGAACCTACACCCACGAGGGGAGTAAACTCTTCAAAAGGGCTGACAACAGCAGGACTAGGGGAAATGGATCCAAGTTGAAGGAGGGAAGATTTAGGTTGGATGTTAGGGGGAAGTTCTATACAAGGAGAGTGGTTAGGCCCTGGAACGGGCTGCCCAGGGAGGTTGTGGATGCCCCGTCCTTGGATGTGTTTAAGGCCAGGTTGGACAGGGTCCTGGGCAACCTGATCTGAATGTGTGTGTTTGGTGGCCCTGCTAGGCAGGGGGGTTGGAACTACATGATCCTTGAGGTCCCTTCCAACCCGGGTGATTCTGTGATTCTGTGATTCTGTGATTCTGTGAAACACGTGAGCCATTCTGCCATTAAGCCTTCGGCTGGAACATGCAGCTCCTCTGTTACTATCCAGATATTCATGGCTGCACAAGCAAATGAAAAGCACTGCAAACGTGCATACTGTGTGTCAGAATTGCAGCAGCTTCACTAACTGCAAGTGTGGACTCAGCAAGATATAAATGTTAAAATCTGCGTCAGTCTCCTTTATCAGTAAAAGATATACTGTAGATTAAAGGGAATGAACAGCTCTAAATTTTTAGTCTCAGCCTATGGACCGTAATTAAAATTTCTTTTAATGGTGCTAAATCACTTTTGTTATGAGCCTAGCAGAAGATAATGGAGTTGGATAATTTCTATTCAGGTACATAACTCACCATTATTGTTTCTCATCTGCTACAAGAGTCCACAGTGATACGAGAGTGCACATTATAACTATGTGACCTCAAAACTTCAGTGACAAAGGAATTTCTTAGCTGTCTGTCCATTCCAACAACTTCAGTAATACCCAGAGGTGTAGTAGTATCTATGAACTTGTAGCAATCCCTTAGAGGTAGAGCTAAGCCCTACAAACACAGCAAAACACAGAAACATTCAGTATCATGTTTTGGGCACTCCGTAGAGTCTCTTGTTCTGGAAACTTATGTAGATAGACAGAGCTTTGGATTTTAGCAGCAAATGAAGCCTGCCTTTCCTCTTTGTTTCCTCAACCCTTGCCTAGTATACCATCTAAGGTAATGAAATGTTCTTAATTAGAGAGCGAGATAAAATGTTGTTATTTGGGGATTCCAATAGATGGGTTTTGGCACATTGTTGTGACTTTATTTCCTAACACAGCAAGACTTTTGAGATTCTGCCATCTGTGCATGCGCACCTGACAAATCTCAAAGAAGGTAAAATAAACCCTTACAGAGATTCCATCTTTTAACCATCCTGTCCCAAATATTGCTCCTCTGTTGCCTCATCAGGAAAGAAGCATGGCATTGTTTTAGAGAATGTGCAGCTCTAGACCACTCCCTCTCTAAGCTGGGCGTAGGTGGAAAGAACATGGATGAAAAGTGGAAGATACCATAATGGAAATACCAATGACATGGAGGGGAGATAAGGTGACTGAAGATGGGAAAAATTGATTAAGAAATTTTAAGATGCCAGCCATGGGGTGCACGTGACTAAATGTGGGTATCTGTAAAGGAAATGTTAGGTATTGTTTCATGCATAGACAATGGAGAGCTACTTGATGCAAGCAGAGGAATTAAAGGTACCATTCATTCAACCCAAAGAGTGCATTTCCAGTGACACTAAAGAAGCCCAAAGAAGTCACTGAAATCCATCCAAAGAACCTGCTTTGGCAGGGGGGTTGGACTCGATGATCTCTGGAGGTCCCTTCCAACCCCTACGATTCTGTTTGTGATTTTGTGATTCTGTGATCCACAGCAGGCTTGGTGTAAGGCCTTAGAATGCCTCTAAAGTCACTAAGTTGATAGGTCTAGGCTCCTGAAACAAACCTTAGTCAAACTGCACAAACTCCTCCCCGCAGCAGTTCTCACAAAATTATTTATTCAAAAATGTTAAAGCAAGATCAATTCTTACCTCCAGTTCTAAATGAATACATGTCGCAAGACCCTCTCTGGCAATTGAATCCACAGTGTCTCTTCCAAGTCCATAGTAATAGCCACTGTATTTATAGGTTGCTATAAACTTCCCCTGAAATTCAAAACAGTGAGTATAATGACAAAGGAAGTACTTTAATGAAAACACTTTCTTAAAGGAGCATAATTACTGTGAACTTCTTAGCTTGCTTTACCAACAGATTTTCTCTCTGACTAAATCATCAATGATAATAAGGCCAGTGGGAACACAACATTTGCAGAGAAGAGCACATAGCTAGCCTGAAGGGTATGGGTTTGTATGCTGTTCATGGATAATAAAACACCAGAGCCTTGAAAACAAGCTGCTGACAGGTTACAGCTTTCATTGGTTATTCATTCCCTCTGTAAAAAAGCAGGATCTAAAACGAAGGGGCATCCTTTTTTTTTGACAATACATCAAACCATATGGCTATGCCATGTAAAATGGGAGATGCCAAAGAAAAGAGGACAGAAACAATACTGCAAGGAGAATGCATAATTGGCCAAGAAATTTCAAAGTTAATACCTAACAACTGAAAATTTGGTTTCCAGCAGTATTTCTAGAGAAATGTACGCAAAACTGCTTGGTTACTGAGAGCTACTATTAAGAACCATTAAAATCAGTCACTTAAGACTGTGTTGGCTCCCTTGTTTGCACATGTACAAATAATGAGCTCTGTTGTGGCTTTTCAAGCCAAAATTTTATTGCAGGCAGCAAAAGACATCAGAAACAATAGCTGGAGGCACAATGCCTTTAGGGGGAATTTGCTAAAATTCAAAAGACTGCATTCCCTGCAGGGTTACTAGAAAATTTAGAGTGGAGATGACAGATACGTCATGAATTTATGTTTCTTGTACCCGCATTAGATACTTGTACATGCAAATAAGATTATTTCTACTTTATAATGCTATTTAAAGATTCCTACTGACCATTGGGCCTACTGAATAGCTCCTACGTATGCATACAGAAGAAGAGACAACATAAATATACAATGAACTTTTGGTTGTTTTATATGAGCTTTCATATTCATTCACATAACTGTGAATGATGACTTGGATGGAAAAGTTGAGTTAACTCTGTAGCAAACAGTTCTGCCAGAATACTGGTGAGGTACTCACCGCTTTCAACATTTTGTCAAATGCTTCTTGAGAAACAAAATGATAATCAAGTCTGTTTTCTTCACCAAAGTAAGCTGCCCTGGTGGTGTGACAGGGACTGGAAGATAAATGGTGTAATAAAGAAAAAACCTGTTTTCAATCACAGAAGCAGCCATGGGATAGGAAGGGGGGAAAAAAAAGGAAGAGTTCTACAAATCATTTTATTTTTAAGAAGAGAAGAAATATGAGAAATATAAAGAGGTGCAAATCATACCACTAATGCTGCATGTTTGAAAGATTAACTCATAAATACACACAAAAAAGTTTAAATGTAACATTACATTTTGGCTATAAATCCCCTCCAACCCAGGATAGCCAGAGCTGAAGCTGTCATAGCACCCTGTAATAGAGAAATGATGAAACCATTTTTTCCCAGTTATGTCAGCTTGTGAATGATATAAAGTAGAATCCTGAATACAGAAAAGGAGACCAGGAATTAGGCTGAACTGTGAGGTTAAGAAAGAGATACAAAGACCAATCTTTAAATAGTGCCCTAATATCAAGAGGAGATACAGTCCTGAAACTAGGGAGATAAGTGGGACGCAAGGCAAGAAAAGTAATTGCCTGTCACCATGTAAGGATAATGGGATAAGCCTCAGAAATGGGAACCTAACTACCAGAAAAAAAAACAAAAAAACAAACAAACAAACAAAAAAAACACTAAAACAAGACCAGTCCAAAAAGCCCCGGCTAAGTCAATGCATTTAGCAACTTTGGATTAAGCTTGGATTGATACCACCTTTGCTATTCAGTGGCTCATGTTCTTAGGAAATGATATTTTGCTAATTGTTTCTGGTTTGATTTTGCTTCTAATTTTCACATTGTTGGATAACAGGAATAAAAGCATGACATGGAATTCACGCTGACAGCATTTTCTCCTTAACTGCTGTTGGACTGTTTTGGAAAATATGGCAAAAAAAATCATACCATGCTAGTATACCACCTACTGGGTTCACCCACATTGCCACATTTGTGGAGAAAGTTTTAATAGGTTTTCAAGAGACAGGGAGAGGTAACTTAGAGATTAGAGCTGGAAGTGATAGAAAACCAGGAGCCACTTCATACCAAGTCAGTATTGTCTAAAATATGGGCCAAGGACTCAACTCTTGTTTTTCTAGCCTGAGATTTGCCCAGAGCATTGCTATTCCGAGTCATTAATTTTCTTTCTTTTCTTTTCACATCAGGAAGCAATGGCAAATGAGAACAACGTGCTACACATGGAGTCTGTAAAATAGCACTTCAAAGGCTTGATTTTTTCTTAAGATACTATGAACGCATCCAGCTTTAAAGGTCAATCCTGAGCACAAGCCAGATGGTTTGAGGGTCTAATTTCACTTTATTTTTTGAAACACTTTTAAACATTACAACCCTTTTTAATTGCAAAGCCATGTTTACATTCAAACTGCTAGAGTATCTTGCATGAAATACATTTTTAATGAGTGGAATGTTTGAAATTTAAAAGAGTAAGCCATAAAATTGCTTAAATCTCCACTGAATAATTAAAATACAACTTTGCTTTATGGTTGCAATTATCTGCTCTGTTAAGATTCTGTCTCTATTCCCCTTCCCCCCCCCCCCTCCCCCCTTGTGCATAAAACTTTTAGGAAATAAAATAGTATAAACAGTATAAAAACAATGCTCCTGAAAAAAAAAACAAAGCAAAACAAAACTCAACACACAGTGCTTAGAAAATTTCAATTGACATTCAATTAGTCTGTAATTTCCCATCTCATCTTTCAAGACACAGCAGTTTGTTTTTTTTTTTAAGGTAAAGAAAATACATTTTTCCAATTGCATAACCCTCTCAGGTCTTTTCTTAAAATGTCCTTTTGATTCGCCCATTTATAGCCATGTGTTGGATTGGGTCATTAATCTGAGAACAGTGCAGGAATGGAAGCTTCTTCACTGTGGAATATTGTGGTAGCCAAGAAAGGTATATCAGATATTGAGAGATGTGGTTTAGTGGGCATGGTGGTGATGGCTGGACTGGATGACCTGTTTTTCAACCTCGATGATTTTATGTTATTACAACAACATGCAGATTGTGGTTCCATGATGTTGTGAAACTGAGAAATATTTCTCAAATATTCACATGCCCATGGTCCATTTCTTACAAATTATGCTCAGTATGACAGCATGAATATGGATCCAAGATATTGTGGCAAATACCATATGTACGAAACTATGGCCAAGGTATGGTTAAAAAAATTAACAGATAAAATTGTGGGATTATAAAAACAACAAACAATTGAGGAAGAGTGACAAAATAGAGGAGAGATGGTATAAGAGGCATACAGGGATTCAGATCAGTGCCATATAGAGCACAGATCTATAAGAGGATCTCTGGAAATTAGCTACCATGAATAATGAGGTGAGTAGACAAAAGGAACAGCTTGTACCACCTAGTTTTAGGTCCCAGACAGCGATGATTTGACTTAGCCACAATTCCTATCCATGGGCACTGAGGAAAGGTATGTGATTCACAAAAGCTGAATCCCCTCTGGAAAGAGCAGGTTTCTCTCCACTAAATACACAGGGAGCCCAAGGCAGAAAGGTTCCTAATTCAAGCCTTTCAGAGTGGGAGAATTACTCCTCCCAGCAGGTGGTGAAGGCTGAAAAGTGCCATTTACTTTGATAGCACTACTTGCAAGATAATAAACTGGTCCAGCAATTGCACTTGCTTCTTGCCTAGCTTCTGGATGCAGCGTGCACATGCATGCTAATGTGTTTACATGCAGGTACGTTATAAAAATTTAAGAGAAATGGATACATATCTAAACAGATGTTTAGACTGAAGGGCATGTGTGAGAGTAGATAGAACAGATCAATAAACAGAGCATAAATGACACTTTTTTGTTTGCTTCCTTGCCATTCACCTTTGAAAAGAACAAGACAATTTTAAATGGCATTTCTTTTAAAGAAAGTATCTGATGACTTCAGGCAATTAAGCACTACAAAGAGATAAAATGCACAGCTACTAACATTTATTGGTTGTATTTAACTTTTAACTTCTTTGGGGAAAAAAAAACCAAACAATAAAAAACCCCAGCAATTTGATCTCTGTGTTCTTTTAACCTCAAGGAGTGAACTTACCCATATCTGAAGAAATTATTGAACTGTCTGCAGATCCTATGAGCAAGCTCTCTCTTCCCACAGGCGAGAGGGCCAACCAATACCAGCATGGGGTAGGGAGCATCGAGACTAGGGAGAGTGCTACAAGAAAGGAAAACAAGGAGGCATTAGGTTAGTTGGAAATAAAGTCTTCACAACATTGCATAAAGCTTCTGCAGAGACTTCATCATCATTTCCACTAATTTCCTCTATCAATCACAATATTCACATTGTTCACAGCATAGATTAAGATGAGGAAAAGCATGTGCTCAATTTGACACACTCTAAACATAAAAACAGAACAGAATGCTACAATAAAGACCCCTGGGTCTCTTTTGCTGAGGGTATAATATTATGTGTACAATATCTTCTCTGATTTACAGTCTTTTTGAAGTTGCCTCTGCAGTTATGGCATTGCTGGGTTTTGTTAAGAGTTTTCCAATTCTATTGCAGGGATGGTAATATTTTAATGATCGGGACAATAAACCTGGAGTGAACCCCAACTCAGTCCTACAAATCTTTATGTGCTCCTGCATATATTCTTGCTAACCTTGCCAGATGAAGGTAGTAATTTGTGAAGAGCTCTTCAGTTCAGTACAATGAGAGCCACTAAGAAACTTAAACTCCACTGAACACAAATAACACTACAATGAAAGAAATCAAATCGTTGCAAAAACACAAAGCCTTCACTTTGGCTCCATTTTCTCCATGCTGTGCAGACGGTTTGATTCTTGAATTTCCTCTTCCAGCTTTAAATACAGGAATAGGGGGGTTGGACTCGATGATCTCTGGAGGTCCCTTCCAACCCCTACAATTCTGTGATTCTGTGATTCTGTGATTAATATGTGGTATTTCTGCATTTCTGAAAGTCCAGCAATTTAGGGATATAAAAATAGAATTCAACTTTAAACTCTCACTTCTTACTCTCACTTGGGCTGTAAGATCATGCCACTTGATGACATGTCAAAAATAGCTGAAATGATTTCAGAAACACACGTTTTTAACTAATGAATAGCTTTAAAACAACTTCAATTTTAAAGGAAGAAAACCACCTCTGTGCACTAGGATTACATTTAATGTGATTTACAGCAGGTGAGCATAAATTCCTGAAAACAGATTCCTTTCTTTTAACTCTTCCCTTGCACAGGACAAGATCCACAAGAAGTAATGATGGCCATCAAACACAAGCATGGGGAGAACTAAATATAAATAAATAAATAAATGAAATCACAGTAATAGCTTTACCTCTATTTAGGTTCAACAAAACAACTCCATCTTCTACCAGATTATACGGATGTAATGGGACCGAATGTTTGAGAAGCACTGAGATAATAATGTAATTCAGTCTCCTAGTTCTCCAGTGAGGTAGATAAATACTACCCTCACAGAAGACATAGAACACACACAACTAATAAATTGGCTGGCTTGAGGCTGTATATATGTGGGGTTACTAAATTGTAAAATGAAGTAAGACCCTGGTCCAGTGCTCCATTTACTGGACTAATTTCAAGCAAGAGGGCAGCAGCACCATTTGGAGACCTAAGGTTGTTTTGGTTTTGTATATAAATGTACTGTGACATTTACAAAAATTAGACAACATTGACACAATAAGCTTATTAGCAGAATCATAGAATGATTTTGAGTTGGAATGGATCTTTAAAGGTCATGTAGCCCAACTTCCCTGCAAGGAACAGGGACACCTACAGCAAGATCAGGGCCTATTTACTTGGGATTGTCACTCTCTCTAAATAAATTCCCATTACTAGAACAGAGAACATATCTTCACATTCCTTGGCTTTATTGTTTCCACAGTACTATCTCTCATTACATCACCACTTACCTATTTTCAGAAGTTCTGGTTTTGCTAAAATGTAAAAGCAGGATCTGGTAAGGAGTTCTTGGTTTATTTAATGTTCGTCTTTCAACTTCCTTTAGTGAGTAGAGCAATACACTGCTGTGAACAATTAATAGATTTCAAGGCCAGAAGGGACTCATGATCATCTAGCCAGATCCACTTCATCATACTGGCTCCCCAAGTCAGTTCTTGTTTCAAGCCTGACGCTGAGGGTTCTGTCAGAGCATATTTTAATTAAAACGTTCCAGTTGTGGAGATTTCTTGGTACCCATGGTAAATTGTTCCAGTGGTTAATTACATTCATTGTTTAAAATAATCCTGCCCTCTTTTTTCTCTGAATAAATTTATCCTCAAAAGCCAGATAGTAAGTCTCATCATGTGCTTGCCCAATAGACTGAAGAGCCCTCTGTTATTAAATTTCCACTCCCCCCACAGCAGTTATAACTATGTCAAGCCACCTTTTTAAATGTCACATGCATTTAGAGTCAGGGAAAAAATACACATAACATTGTTCAGTGGTCTGTTACTATGTAATTAAAGATAGCATCAGGAGGCACACAGAGAGGGAATGGCATAAGTAACTTATGCTAATATTTTCTGACTGGAGTAAGTAACAGTATAACCTTTTCCTTTGATTTCAGGCTTTATTTTTAATAGAAATATTACTAAAACCAGAATTAATTATAAACTCATCTAACAAGATCGATGCAAATGAACTACACAAACCTTGTTCCAGTAAGCAGTTTATAGCGTGGAAGACAGCAACGTATCATCATTAGGAAGATTTCATTAATGACTGTGTTGTGTATTTTCCAGCTGAGCATAGGCAAACACTCGAAGCTTAAGATTCGACTCGAAGACTCGAAGATTTAACTTAAATAGTTAAATCATTAACTATTTTGGTCAGTACCATAAATATTGCTTTGCTTGTTTATATGTTTGTGTACACGATGCCTCTGACAGAGTTGTTCCTTTCTAGCAATGAAGACACACATGCACAATCCAATAAACAAATATTTAAATAAGGCCTATGTCTGCATTGGAAGAAATCCATGCCTTTAGGTAAAACTACTCTTTTTGGTTTGGTTGCTTGGCTTTTCTGTTTTTTTTTTTAATAGGCTGATACAAATTCTCAGAGCTATCATCACCACAGGGATAGTTCCTATCTGTCATCATCAAGCCCAGAAATAAAACCAGCTTTGCAATACAGACATCTAAAAATGTAAATTAAGTCACTGAATCATGGATCTTGAATCACGTTACTTAGCTATGAATTAAGATGCCCATAATGATGCTAAGACAGGATGTTGGGCACAAACTGATTTCAACACCCACTGTAGCTGATAAAATAACAAACCACTTATATGTCATTGTATCCTCCATCAGCGTACGTCAAAGCACTTTCCAAACTTATCAAGCAACTATCATAATTCGTCTACAGAACAGCAAAGTATGCTGATTTCCATTTTCTAAATGAGAAATAAGACAGAATGAAGTCACCTGGCATGACAATGGCAATGTCAGAAAAAGAACATTGATTTGCTTCTCCCTTCTGTTCTTTAAATGGCAGACAGCATCATCTCCTCCCACAGGCACAAGTTGGACTTCCTTAAGTACAAACTTGAAAATTTTGCCTTATGAATATAGAAACGTGTCCCAGAGCCACAAAACAAAGCCATTCTGTTCACGCCGGCACGCCAGTAGCGTGAAGAGGAATAAGCAGAACAGGAAGAAATGTTTTACAGCTCTCTTCTCCCTCTAGAGACTTTCAAATTGCCTTTTAGAAATAGAATTTTACATCTCTCATTTATGGTGCAAATGGCCATCTGTTTCAACAGATTGTTTAAAAGAAATGGAGTTGTGGACAATCTGTCTCCGACTTCAGAGGTGAATGACTAACTTCATTTCATAATCCATTTCAACCAAACAAGATCTGCCTAATTTGCAGACTGCTAACAGAATGCGATGGAACATGTCCTCTTCATTAGATTAATTTAAAGGTGGGAGAGGGACGGAAAAATGTCCCTCTAAATATGCCAACATATTCTGCTTTACATGAGTGCCACCCTCAGGAGCAGATGTGAAGTGGAGGTAAGCTTACCTGTCAAAGATTCGCTGGGGCTGCAGCATGCTATACATAAGCTGAGTCATATGATCTTTAGCAGCAACAACTTCTGGAGGAGGATCATATTGATTCACAGCACCAACCTGTCTCCAGAGTTTAAGGACAAAAGAAAGAAGAAGGGCAGTGATGTAATTGTTTCCAACTGCAATACGTTTCTAAGATCACTATGAATAATGAGGGCTTTGTACTTTTGATGGTCAGTCCTTGCATTTGGCTTGTCTACACTCTGCTACATAAATGTTTTTGGGAGATTTAAACACTGTCTGATAGATGGATGGAAGGTAGCCAGAAGTAGCTCACCATCGTTAATATATTCAACCTTTTACTGGAAAGAAAACAGGATGCTACATAAGACACAAGGTAATTCTGCTTAGGTTTTAATTATCCATTAATTTGCATCCTTTCAGTGCTGGTGGAAGATGCCAAATTAAAATCCTTGGGGACTGAAGCCATTCATTTATTTGTTAGAAGAGAAACAGAATGGGTATTAACAAAGTAAGCAAACTGCAATTTTCTCCTGACAAAGCACTTCTGCCTTTCCTGGGAGGAAGAGCATTGAAACTACAAGGATTCTCCCTATTTATTCTATTGAAGGTACTGACCTCTAATGGGCTGTATTTATTTTATTTTACTTTTTTTGTTATTAATGCTTGCCTCTCCTACAATAACCTGAGGAAAGGATTTTTGAAGTAACTTCAACCACACAAAAGTTGTGTGCTAGTCTCAATCAGTCATCTAGGCTTACTCTTACAGTCCATAAAGAAAGAAAGATTTCTTGAATACACGTGTGTGGAAGGAAAGCAGATTGTCACATGAGACAAAGAATAAGATCAACATCTCTGGTATCATCCATTCATACTCATGATAGCAAGAGGCTGGCATTAAACAAGAGCCTTGATCCCTGATGTTTATGCAGCTGAAGTTAGGAATGACAAATTTCCTGCAAGGATCCTTTATACGTTTTTTTTTAAGAATGCTTCCCTTAAATCCAACACCAATATGCAAATATTAACCCTAGCAGTTCTAGATATGGCAGCACTAGAAGAAAAGTTTACAATAGAAAGTTACTGTAAGCAGTCTGAGGATTTAACTAAAGGAGGAAGATTTTACAGAGAAAATTGTATTGAGTAGACCTGGAAACAAATATCATTATAACATCCAGAATACATTATAAAAGAACACATTATAACCACAGCTGCTAAGTAAATACTCTGCCCAGAATGCTCCATCCCTGGAGGTGTTCAAGGCCAGGTTGGATGGGGTCCTGGGCAGCCTGGTCTAGTATTAGATATGGAGGTTGATGGCCCTGCCTGCGCTGGGGAGGTTGGAGCTTCATGATCCTAAGGGTCCCTTTCAACCCAAGCCATTTCATGATGGCTTTTAGCTAAGTTTTGCATTTTCACTTACATGCAAGTGCTCCATATCTGGATTTAGAAGCAGAAGTCTCTGAATTTGTAGTCTGAAATATGGGACACCTATCACACTCAAATGACAAAAATCCTGTATTTGCATGCACAGTTGTTCAAGTTTTTTGTTTGTTTGTTTGCTTGTTTTTGTATTTGCATTCTTTACTTAGAAAAAAATCAGAATGATACACTTACATACCTTTTCTTCCACTGAAATATTCTTGAGATCCAGTTCTGTTAGTTGTTGCAACATGAAAATCACCAAGAGCCAATAATCTGTTTGTTCCTGAAGGAAAAAAGAACCTAGATTCATCAATCTAATATTTAATATCTCTCAGCTGAAATTAAATTGGTTTTAATACAGTGTGATATAAGAAGACTGCTGGAGAACCAAAAGCATTATCTATTCTGGAACTACATGATCATCTATGTCTAATACTTCCAACCTTAGAAGGACTGCAGGAACTTTAGAAGAGAACTTGCATTATATAAGCATTTATAACAATGAATTTAAGTCTGGGACAATAAAAATGAATAATTAAAATTCAAATAAAAAGTTGACACCAATAACCAAAACTCAAATGGCTGTCTTAAGGTGATTGTTGTTCATGTAAGCTACTAAAACAGTAATTTAAAGGAATAAGATCAGAATCTGCTTAAGAGAAGGTCACATAAAGAGAAAAAGGTTTTCAGTACATGGAGGGACGTGGGACAGCCTATCTCAAAAGAAGAGTCAAAGCAAAGTTGAGCAGTTGAGGTGGAGAGGATGTGTTTTCAGCCATTGTTTTGGCTTAACTAGCCTACTCTACTTTCAATTGGTAATAAATGAATCTTCCCCCAGTCAAGTCTGTTTTGCCTGTGATCATGATTGGTGACTTATCTCCCTGTCCTTATTCTGAATCATGAGTGTTTTAATCTTATTTTCTCTCCATCTTGCTGAGAAGGGGAAGTGAGAGCATGGTTTGGTGAGCAACTGGAGGAGAACCAAGGTCAATTCAGCACCATCTCAAACAACCTAGAAGTCACAAAAGTCAGGAGAGAGTCATCTTGGATTACTGAGGACAAGTTACAAATGCAAAGTCAGTTTATCTGACATTTTGTGAATCATAAAATCGTTAAGGTTGAAAAAGACCTCCAAGATCAGCTAGTCCAACTGTCCACATATTACCACCATGCCCACTAAACCGCATCCCTCAGTGCCACATCTACACATTTCTTGAAAATCTGAGTAAAACAGATGTTTAATTCATTAGTTGAGGAATATTAAGGGAGCCATAAACGAGGACTGAGTAAATCCTGGATGAAAAGATGATAGAGATTCCAGAGACACATTATTTGGAAAGGGCTACTATTAAGTTCCTTTCAGCTTTTCTCATGAACAAGACAGTACCTTCAAAGCAAACAAAAGTGGGATCTTCTACAAAAAAAAAAAAAAAAAAATCATTGCATACTATGAATACAAAAGTATTAACAAATTGATCAAATTCATGGATTTATTGCGTGAATATGAAACATGATACATTTTTAGCTTTGGCTAGGAAGTTCCCAAAGAAAGGTGGGTGAACATGCTGGCAGAACAACTGCTCATCACTACTTTGTTCCTAATCTTCACTCCCTGAGATGACCTGGCTACTCTCAGAGACAGAAAAGGAATCTAAATGGAATCTAGTGTGACACAAAACAGCAGCTCTAGGTTCATATTTTTGCCTTCATTTTTACTTTCTTCTTACCTGCACAGGATTTTTCAAAAGATTTAAAGCCCTGAGGAGAGGCAGATCTTGAATATTTTCAAGTTCACTCAGCTCAGCAATCTAATTAGCAACAAAAACAGAACATAAATTAGCAGCAACAGAGTCAATGATAACTATGGGGAAAAAAAAGCTTTTCATTCCTGTTCCTAAAATCTGGAAATAAAGAAGTCATTATACTCACAAACTGGGTATACATGTTAACTGCATTCAATAAGGCATTTTCAGCCACAAAAGGCAGACAACTTGGATGTTAGCTGGAGAAGCAATATAACACAGTAATTTCGAACCACCTGCGTTTTTCCCGTTCTTTCAAACGTCAAGCCATAACACATTTAACTTTTATGTGGCTGATGTGCTTAAGTGAGGCAATTCTGCAGTTATATTTGTGCTTCATGACTAGCGAAAATAATTCCTTCTAAGGAGATTTTCTTTTCACTGAAGCTCAAGTTAGAACACCCTATCTAACTTGCAGCACTTAACTGAAAAGCATCAGCATACTTATTCTTACCTCTATTTATGTCCAGAGGGTAATGCATCCCACTTAACGTCTCATCTGTTCACAAAGAAAACCTTGGTTGGCTGCACTCAGCCATATCCATTAAGCTTTAGAAGTTACGTGGGACTGACCAAAGCTTGTGTGCCCAAAGTGAAGTCACGCCAGTGGCACTCAGTGAACACTTGTAAGGCTATCAGTTAAAACAAAGTGGGTAAAAAGGAATTCCTTCTGACTCATTTTAACCATCTGTAAATTAATTAGCCCAGATCAGCCACTTAACAATTTCACTTTATAATCAGTGGAAAAAGACAGGTTCAGAGGACATGACCCATGCAAGGCTGGGATGAATGGAATTCTAAAGAAACTAATTTTCCTTTAAATGCTGGAAGACTGAACCATCCCCATGTGTTAGTTAGCTTATGTGAGGTTCCTAAAAATACAAATCTCAACCACACTCAATTTAATATTCCTTCTGAGATAACAAGCCCCCTGCAGAACAATTTTGACTAGGTTGTCATTTGAGTGGATTTCCCAGATAAGTCATAGAAAACCAACAGTCCATAACTGAAAACCCCTAAATATGTACAGGTTATATATGGGTTATACACGGGGCACTCAGCACAAGAAAGACAGGGAGCTCTCAGAATGGTCCAGAGGAGGGCCACTAAGATGATCAGAGAGCTGGAGCACCTCTCCTAAGAAAAAAGGTTGAGGGAACTGGGCTTGTTTGACTTAGAGAAGAGAAGGCTCCAAGAAAGTCGCATAGTGGCCTTCCAATACTGGAGGGGAGCACATAAACAGGAGGTGGAACAACTGTTTATGAAGGTGAATAATGATAGAACAAGGGGGAATGATCTTAAACTGAGACAGGGAAGGTTTAAGTTAGATATTAGGAGGAAGTTTTTCACATAGACGGAGGTGACACACTGGAACATGTTGCCCAGGGAGGCTGTGGATGCCCCATCCCTGCAGGCATTCAAGGCCAGGCTGGATGTGGCTCTGGGCAGCCTGGTCTGGTCGATGATGACCCTGTGCACAGCAGGGGGGTTGAAACTCAATGATCATTGTGGTCCTTTTCAACCCAGGCCATTCTGTGATTCTATATATAGATAATGATATACGTGAGAGCTATATGCTGCAGATAAACCTACTGTCCTCATTGGCCAACTGACAGCATGTGGGAATACTCCAGAGAGATAATTCCACCTTGTGGATGCAGAAGTGAAATAAAACATTGAGAGTTCTGTCCTATGTCTGCTGACTGGCCCTACAGATCTGCAGAATATCATGTCCACCCAGCTCTCCAGAGACACCAAGCAGCTGGCATCCTACTCTCACCACAGATGCAGGCAGACCAATGTAACTTTACCTTGGAACAGTGAGTTCCAGTGAGAACCCTTAACGCAGCTTTTTTAGACAGATAAAACTTGAGGCTAAAGCAACTGTGCCAATATTCTCTTTACATTATTCTGCAGAAAGAAATGTTCAAAAATGGTGACTCATTAAACAGCTTCAACAACATCATTAACAGAGGTAGGTTTTGATGAGGCAAAATTAATAGTTCCTACGTGCCGTAAAGAACAGTAGAATCTATATGAGGCAATGGAAGTGGTGTTATTAATACTAATAACAGCTACACCATTAGATAGTTTCCTGTCTTGTGTAATTTCAAACACTGATGCACCTTGAAATGTCAACCTGAACACATCATGAGAAAAAGAATTCATAGTGTACTGTATTCCTCTTCTCTTATAAATGTATCTTGCGTGGGGAAAAATTACAGAAAATGTTCAGTTCCTGGTTTATACTGTTATTTCTCATTTTCTTCTTCTTTTTTTTTTTTTTTCTCCACATGCAGATCTATCTTTGATGTCAGAATGATTCATGAATTGACAGTCTTTTCAGCTAGAGACTCCAGGAACTCAACATCAAAAGGATTAGGTATACGTCGCCTGGGTTTCAAAATTCAAATACAAATGAGTTGGATTGTATCATCGTACTCCCTGTGAAAATCTTGCTGCAGAACAAAACACAATTTATAGCAGAGTACACGCAGTTCTGCCTTACAGAAACATACCATTTGAGAGCTCAGAAGAATCTGTGGTCATAAAATCGGGCTGAGAGATATTAGCAAACCCTCCTGACAGTAGGAAAGCTGTGATGTAAGTAAAGATCCTCAAGAATAATCAAACTGGAAAAAACCCACCAATACTCACCTCTATCATATCTACACAAGGGAACTGTGTTAGGCCTTTATGTACACGAGCACTAAATACAACAGAAGTGATCCTTACATAACAATAAACCTGGACATGTCAAATAAAGCCTGAGGAATATACTACTAATCAACATGTGAAACAATACTGGATCAAAACATCAAAGGAAAAATGGCATCTTATCTAATATTCCTTTCTTGGAGTATTGTAAGATTCACTGTTTGACGTTTCTAGGGATTGGATTTAAGGAGAAACAAAAAAGGATGCATTCTCAGAACAAGTTGAGATCAATATTAAATATGTTACCTTGTTATCCTCTAGATTGATCACCTCTAGTAAATCATGTCCCTCCAAGCCTTCTAGAGTAGCTATTTTATTGCTAGAAAGGTCCAGCTTCCATAGAGTTTTCAATCTATCCAAGCCGGTTATCTTCTCAAGCAGGTTAGAGCTCTAAGGATACAGGAAAACATATGAAGTCTGATGAAGTTCTACAGATGGGAAACAACATCTCTGAGGAAGAGCAGCGTTCACTTTATTATTGAGAATCCTATTACAAACAGGCCTTTTATGCATTGGCCCCAACATGAGATGACATACTGCAGCTCTCCATACTCCTCAAGGAGAAAAGAATTACCTTCTGATTAACTTATCTTCTGCTCACCTTGAATAACAGCAAGTGACAACAGCAGTATAAAAAGAGCTCTAGCATTCTTTTCGAGATTATACTGCCTAGAGAATACACTTGCCACCATCAAACTCAAATTTAGAAAATAGATATACACATAAAAATATAGAATACATACAATATACATACATACAATTTCCCTCTATAATTGTGGTTATGTTTACATTTATGATTAGAGAATAAATAATGAAAATACTAAGGTAGAACAAAGCAGTACTGCCTTCTTTGGGCTACAGGCAATCTATAAAATCTCTTTGGGATACATAAGTTCATTAATATGTACAAAGTGAAGACAGACTATTTGCTGTCAGTGACAGCATGCCCTGAAATGTTCCAATAAAAACCCCTACCTACCTCTACTGTAAATTCACCTGGACAGGAAATTACCCAAGCTTCTGGGAACTCAAGCAATTATCATTGTTTTACATTGCTTCCAAACAAGTTACAAGATAGAAAACTATATTAATCACGGGACACCAGATGGCTTCATTTGTCTGGACCCCACAAATCATACACTCATTCCTGCTAAACTCTAAACAGATACAACATGCAGGATTCTCCACTCATCTCTGTCTCAGTGGCTACATGTACCCAGATGGCCTCTCAACATGATTCTCTCCCTATAACCTTGCAAGTTATATTTTTCCATCAGCATCACCTTGTGCTTAAACCTTAGAAGCCTCATATTCTATTTATAAATATTTAGGAACTGTTGAAATAAATAAGCCAGCTGACTCTAATGTTAATCCAGTTGTCTGTCCTTGACATTTTTCCTGACTTTTAAATCTTTAATTAGGTTATTAATAGCATGGAAGCACTCTCTTCCTGTATGCTGTTAGACCTCCTTAATAAGATAAAGCTCAGAGTTCTAGTTGCAAAATGCTATGCAAGAGGTACACGTAGAATTCTGTGAACAAAAGAGATTTTTGTAGAGGTCCTTTCTTGCTAAGCATAAAATTCCTAAGAGTCCAGTTCATTAGAGTTGCACTTGTTATTTTTTGCAAGCTTAAGCAGAACAGAGGCTTTTTTGCAATAGTAAGGCAGTATTTACAGTTTCTGAAGTCTTTCTTCCTAACTTCAGACCTTTACTACTCTTTCAACCTGAAAGCTCAGTGGAAAATAGAAAGCGAATCTGAATCAGTGGGTAGAAAGGGGGAAAAAAAAAGAGGAACTGCATCTTGTTCTAATTAGCAAAAGAAAACGCTACGTTAAAATCTGTCTATTTACATAATTTTCACAACTATCTACTTTGCTAATTAAAAAAGAGAAGCAGTTGGATAAATAATCGTATCAGCATGTAAGAACCCAAACTGAAGAACGTGTTCATATTAATAAGCCTCAGCTCTTAACACGATCTCCAAAGCATTTTACAGGGCAGATAACCATTACTAACAGAATTATTATTAGGCCTTTTAACAGACAAGGAAATCAAGGTACACAGTGGCTAAGCAATTTAGTGGAGATGAGTTAGAGAGAAGATTTTCCTGTCAGCTTAGATTTTTGTATTCCTATAGTTCATTTCAAAACTTCTAGACAAGATTTTGCCAATCTTTTCCACTAAAAATTAGAAAAAAATAGTATTATTGCCACTGGAGGCATTAGATAGAAATATAAATCCATTAAAAATATACTGCTGAATGACTTTTGAATATATTATTCAAAATATACAACTGCCCACTTATGAATCTGAATGCCTGTACCAAAGCAGCAAAAAGTATAAGGGACAATCAGGCAAAATGGACACAGACCTTACTTCTGCTCTTCTACTTGAATTACTACAGCACACACATTAAAAAATCTTAAAACATTTACAAGGATTGAAAAAGAATTCTATACTTGAATAAAGGATTCATTCGCTTTACCTAAAATATTTATGTAGGTGCTTAACACTAATGTAGCAGATATGAACATATTTCTATGTATAGCTTTTTCATACTCAGTTTTAAATTACTATTTTAAAGTACTATTACAAAGTAAAACCTATTAAGATGTGGATTGGCATTTTTATAGCAATTGCATTAAAAGTAGTTTTTGCTTGTACTTTGCAGCCTCTATACTGATAGCCCTCCCTACTACGCAACTTGAAATAATTTAGAAGAAATTGGTATATTTTACTGATGTGGAACTGAGGAATATTGGAATAAACACCTACCCAAGACTCAAAAAAGGGCCAAATGCATTCAAGTGTTGGCACTGACAGATAGAGATCTACAATGGGTTAGTTAATTCTCAACAATCTTTATAAACAACAGAGAGGAAGAGATGCTTCCAAGGACTGATGCATCTTGCATTAAGAGAGATGTCATCCACTGAGGATGAGGATAATGCAGTAGTTTAGATATCCATTTCTCTCCACTGATTTTTGAGGCAGCAGAGAACAAGCTCTGATGCAGTGATGTACACTGCAGAAATCTGTAACCAGATGAGATAAATCCCACTAAAAATATAAAATATGCCCTAGAAATGTTGTATTGCAAATATACCCTGGAACAGGTTGCCCAAGGAGGCTGTGGATGCCCCATCCCTGCAGGCATTCAAGGCCAGGCTGGATGTGGCTCTGGGCAGCCTGGTCTGCTGGTTGGTGACCCTGCACACAGCAGGGTGTTGAAACTGGATGATCATTGTGGTCCTTTTCAACCCGGGTCATTCTATCATTCTATGATGACTCTGTGATACCCTGATATCTTCATGCAAAATTAGCAATCTAAGACTTTCAGTCACATCACAAAATCCTTAAAGATAAATCCAAGATTCTTTAATAACTTACCACATTTGCATACTAAACTTGTTTTCTAAAAGTGAATGCAAGCTGCTCAGTCGCCCTTTTTCTCTTGTGTCTAGTTCACTGCCGTCACAAACACAGCTTTGAGGAAATGTATCTCTGAAGATAACCAGTGTTAGGACAAGCAGCAATGGCTTTAAGTTATACCAAATGAGGTTCAGTTGGATATTAGGAAAAAATTCTCAAAAAGAGTGGTAAAGTATTGGAATGGGCTGCCCAGGGGGGTGGTGGAGCCATCATTTCTGGAGGTGTTCAAGAAGTGTGAAGATGTGGCACTAAAGGCCACGGTTTAGTGGACGTGGTGAGGATGGGCTGACAGTTGGAGTAATGTCTTCGAAAATTTGTTATGTAATTACTTTCACTTTTATTGTGGCCTTAATATATTGATAAAGATTGAAACAATATTGGAAAAGATTGAAACACCAAAACAATAAGAAATGCTTTCTTACCAGATTGAGTATTTTGATAGGTAAGTTCTCAAGGCCACTGATTGCAGTGAGTCTGTTGTGTGACAAACTAAGATGAGTCAGACTATGACATCTTTCCAGTCCTCTTATCTCCTCTATGTTATTAACTTGGTAAAGGATTTAGAATTCAAGGAAAATAACTGGACGCAAAAATCATAGCAATAGTTGCTGGCCACATTACTCACTGGGATTGAAGTTTGTGGTATGGGGAGCTGGATGTCAAATGCTTCATGCTAAAGAGTTTAACATCCCAGCTGCTCATGCCCATGCCTGCTCTGAAACATACTGCTTCCTTGTTTGAATGATACAACTTACTGTGGAACTGCAGAATAAGTGACTTAATTTACCCTCCTCTCCTTTTTTGTGGGTAAGTGTCCAATGTGGAACTATTTATATGAAAAACAAGTGACAGAACCAAGCAAAATAGCCAGAAGAAGCAGGACACAGAGAAATGCCCTTAGGCAATCTCAGAAGAAAACACTTCTTAATTGACTCAAGATAATGAACTCTGCCTGCAAAAACAGATGAGTTCTCTCTCTTATCAAGCAGTGGACAAGTTATCTGGATTTTTTTCTTCTAACTCTGAATGATATTGTAAATCTAAATGAAATGTAAGCTTAGACAGTGCCAACATAATCCTTTTTAATAACCATAACCTTACTCTGTTTTTCATTTTTTTTTCCTTAGCCACCATCTTATATGAGGACTTCATTATATTTTACCTCTAAGTTCTGCACTCAGGCTGAGGTAGGAAAGGAGAGAAGAAATGAGCTGGAAAGCTGAGATTTATCTTTTCAAAGGACCTCACTTGGCTGTTTCCTACACTTAGGAAAGAAACCAGAAGCATGCACAAGCACTGATAGCTGACAGATATTCATTGATGCAAATACAGCATGGGACTGCTCCCCTTTCAACCAAGGAGGAAAAGCTTTAGTGAGCAAAGAATTAAGGTCGATATGAAGGAGATCAACAAATCATTCACTGCCAGTAAACACAAGCACCAGCCTGTTTCGAGACAAACAGGTTTAAGCCATAAGCATCAATATGAGGCAGCAAATTGCTCAGCTCTAAGAACTAATATAATCAGTTTTCTAGCAGCCCACTAGAATGCCTTGTCAGCTATTATCGTCCAAGCTGTCTCCTCTCTGGTTTGGGCAGCTTCCTCCTTGAAAACTCATTTATACTCCTGTCAGGTGTGCTTCTATGTGCACCTGTCAGAAAGAAAGTTACAATGACCTTACCATCTGCATTAGAATTCTTTAAATATGGTAAGAAATGCTTAGTTGCTGTCAAAAAGGAAATGCACGCCAAACATTTCCACGACTGCACGATATTATTAATATTTTTTTTCCATTTATGATTACAAAGAACAGCTTGTTTTGTCTGCCATGTCTTCCGTGAGGAATGCCTGACGTGGGTTAGGAACAGTGTCACTTTACTGTTCTAAATTCTGTCCTCATTTGCCTCTGTTTCTGAGAGTCCCATTATAATCGCACACATGAAACAGCTTTCATTTCCATTACATTGGCATCAGTGCAAATGAAGAAACTGAAGACAGCATGCTGTAGCATTCCAACCAAATGAAGAAATACTGATTCAGATCCATAATATAAAAATCTGTTCTTTTTCCATTTTCATTTTTGTCATACGTATAAATTTTTTTGCACTATGATGGAAAATTAGAATTGCAAAGGAATAGCATCTCCATGCCATTTTCTGACAAGAATTATGTCACCTGCACACCTTGTAAAACGTGTGAGTAAGGTAACCTGGAAACCCTGCAAATGCTTTATCTGTTCCTACATTAAAAAGACATTGTATTAATACTGTTAGGTAATGGGCTACTTTAAGGACAAGAGACAGAGAAAAAAAAGACAAAACTGCAACGGCCTGCTGACTTCTCCTTTTCAGAGAGCAGAACATCAAGATGCAACTTATGAAGCAAAGAGGAAAGGGTTGCAAGGCTTCAGGAAGCAATTGTAGATGAGGCTACACGTCACTGTGAAGCTCCAGAAGAGTTTTCAGAGAAGCATGTATAATCTATACAGAACTCAGAGCACTGTGAACAACCTTAGAAAAGTAAGCAATCAAGAAATTCTATCTGCAGATTCACACTTCCCTGATTTCTGCCACAATAGTGTTTTTAGTCATGTGAAATAGGAACCAGTGACACTGTAGCACATGTGGTTTCCCTGTCTCTGGAAGTGTTCAAGGCCAGACTGGATGGTCTGGTATTAAATGTGGAGGTTGGTGGTGCTGTGGCAGGGGGGCTGGAGATTCCTGATCCTCGAGGTCCCTTCCAACCCTGGCCATTCTGTGATTGTGTGTAGCAAAATAGTCTGCCTCTGTGTGTGTATGCAATGGTATACTCCAGGAAATTTCCTCTCACTTAAAGATTCCCTTCACTAGCACTAAACAACCTTGCTCTCCATAGAGCCTCTGTAGGCCCTCAGTAATAGTAGCTAAGTCTAAGATTAAATAACACACGACTTGTTCACTTAAGGGATCTTAGTGTTCCAGGCTGATTTCCTATTAACTTCTCTTATTTTAAAACAGTGGGGTTATTTATTAGCTCTGCTATGTGAAGGCAGTGTGACATGTCACATTTTCAGTTTAACATGACGCAATGTTGAAGATTTTCTGTGTTCCTCTGGCAGGCTAGCTTTACATACATCTACAAACAGCTTTAACTCATTAAACTCAGTAAATTCAGATCAGTATCACAATCAGAATTATAATGCTTAAGCTTCCTTCTAAAGAAAAGCATGACATGAAGGAAAAAATACAAAGAACTGCTTGAAGCAAAAATTTGTTCGTAAAGCAAACAAGCAACATTTCTTCCACTCAAATCTGCATGAAGGATACAGTCCAGCAAGAGTTTAGTTAATGACTGGCATGCTGACAAATCTTGCATTTTAGGTATTTGATTGTGCGAAAAATCTACTTCCTAAAGAGAAAGGAAGACAAAATTAGTTTTCTTTTTCACCACTTATAGATGTCTTGTGAAATTAAATGGCTGTTATATTAAACTTGTGATCAATTTTACAGACATTAGAAGAACATCAACATTAGTACTGGAACCTAAGCAGGAACGCTCATTTTTACAAAGAGGAATTCAAAACTACGTTTTTTCAAACAAACATAACATTAGAGGTCCTGCAATTATGCATACGTATTAAAAATACACCTTCCCATGGAATGCTGAGGTTCAGAAGGTGTAAGAAAATAAAAGACTGAAACGTACAATGTAAAACACCCAGAGGTTTGGAAAATATACTAAAACGTCAAAGGAAGTATCAGAGAAGAACAAGGAAAGCTGAAAAGTTGGCTTCTGCACACATCCAAATACAATGTCTAAAGTTGATTTAAAAAAACATTCTGAATTGAACCTATAAAATGCATCTATTTGCAACTTACCTTGAGATTTTTCGGTGGCTTAAAACCAAAATATGTAGTCAATTCGTTGTTGGAAGCATTCAGTTCTAGTAAATAAGGCATCTGACTGACACAAGAAAGATCTAATAACAAAACAAATGCCAAATGCTTCACATGAATGCATAGGTAAATGCAGATGTCATCATGTCAGAATGTGATAATTATGTTCAATAGCAACTGAAAATCAGCTCGTGATTACACATTCAGAAAGCAGTGTTTGAAATGCAGAAATCTGATACATTAATGCCTTGTACTAGAAAAAAAAGATGATTACTAAACATCAAAGAACAAATATTCAAATTCTACATAAAATCTCCATTAGGAAACATATTTGTCTGTGAGCCATAATATAGCTCTGTATTCTAATTCTCTTTAAAGTAACAGAGACTACCTCTGTCCTAACATTAATTACTGAAGAAAAGTATTTGAGTCATTACTGATAACTAAATAACGAGTGCTACAAAAAAGTCCACGCTCTGCTCAGACCTAGGCTTGCTTTTACTAACAGTCTGTCTGTCAAACAGAGAAGTGCCACCCTACCAAAGTGCTGCTATGACACAACTCAGCACCTCAACTGAAATGAAGTTGAAAGCAAAACTGTAATCTGCTGCTACTACAGATCATTTGTTTTCATGTTAAATTAAAAAGATGAGATGGGGGGTACAAGGCAGAGGAAAGGAGCGGAAAATAACAGGTTTTACTTCAGTCTCCATTAGTTATCTCTCTAAATACAGTGTGCTACTTGTTCTTTGGTCCGCAATGGAAAACCTTGAGGAAGGATAGCCCAAGGCTTGCAAAACTGTACCAGCCATAATTTTACACACTGTGACATTTGTACGTGCAAAGTCTCAACCTTAATCTTGTACTGACATGCTTGCTTGCATTTTAGTTGTGGATAATAAACTGGACAATAATCTCCATGTTCCCACTGATAAGCATATGCTGGTGCAGCACTCTGAACAGTCCATACATCATCCATGACAAGATCGAGCCATTGCCTCAGTCTGTAGAGCCAGCATAGTTATGCCATTAAAATGTAGACCAAGGTTTGTGATATTAAGCCTACACGGTACGCTGCATTTCTTATCTTAAATGATTTCACAATCCAAGAATTTACTAGTGTATTTAGTACATACCATTAATTTTATTATATGAAAGTTCCAACTTCTGTAGGTGGACGTATCTGGAGAGAATGTTAATGTTGCTCAACTCACGACCCTGGAAAAATAAAGCAAAGAGACTTTAATAACTAACTGTATAACCTCGCCTTTCTCTCTCAAGAGATGTGAAGTATCAGAAGACACTGAAGACATTCCCCAAGGTCCCTCCAGCTGGATCTCCGAACAGAACAGCAGAAAGCATGTTAGACCAGCCATTAATGGAGACAGTGTCAAAAGAATACTTTAGAGCACAATCAGGACACAGCTGCAGCTAGGAATAGTGCCACAGAAGCAAGGCTCCACGGAAGGATGCCTACAGCAAGAAATATTTAAGGCAACCATTTAAACTTTCTGTCCAGAAGACACTGAACGCAGCTTTCTTAAATGTTTAGCATGTTCTTCTGTTTCTTTCTCTAGCTGATTAAAGAATGAAGATACATTTCCACACCTGAAAAAGGAGCATGAAAAAACATTACTACTGCTGCAACTAAGTGAAAAGAACAGTCCTGATGTGGCAATTGTGAGTAGAAGCTGTGTTGTGTCTTATCAAGTGTCCCAGATATGGGAAATTGATGCGTATAGACAATTTTATTTCTTAACATTATTTTACCAGGCCAACTATTTGCTGTTACAAAGAAGAAACCTTTGAGTGGAAAAGCACTTTACAATGATGCTCTTCACTTATACTTACTGAAAGTGACAGATTAAGATAAACGTATTCAGTACCAGGTGCTGAGCGCCCCAGCTTGTGGAGACCCTCAGCCACAGTGTCTTCATCCAACATTCCTTCCAAACACTCCTATAAAACACCAGGAAGGAGGGAAAGGGAGAGGAATGGGTTTAGGGGAGATTTATGAAACAAAATTCCAATTTATAGAATCTAAGAGCTGCAACTGGGAACAGTTTAATATAAGACCTCAATCAAATGCTACTTTAAGTGCTCCATCACTTTGTTAAGGCACTACACATTAGGAAGAAGGATGAATAGAGCCCTCAAAACTAATAAATAGAAACACGTTTCATGCTAACTCCAGACATTGAAAAAGGTTCGTAGTCAATCTTTCCAAAGCTTTTTTTTTTGCTGTTGGGATTTTTTTTTTTAACTTTCTGATTTACAGGCTCAGCCTGTTTTCAGAGATGTTGAGCCATGAAACTCACATTGATTATGGATGTTAACATCTCAGCAAATCAGCATTAACATAACCCCTGTGTTGTATACCCCAATACACGCATTATTGGAGGCCCTTTACATTTGTTCAGCATGAGCAGCTAGTGCTACTCTTCAGAGAACACTCTTTGCCAAAGAGGCTACTTGACAGATGGCACTAATGAACCACTGCATAGATTTAATGAGAAAATAAGCCAATGGCTTGTGAAATTCCTACGAGCCAAGAGAAGTCACACAATGATCCCTTATCTACAGACAAGGATAAATAATGTTTCCAATGGCAATCATCTAAATCATAGCACCTATATGCTCTTATCTACAGACAAGGATAAATAATGTTTCCAGTGGCAATCATTTAAATGATTACACCTATATGTTATAGCAATGGTGACTGCAGAGATATTTTCATGACTGCTGTAGCAGTGGACACAAAAGCCCAGCCAAGAACGTAGATCCAGGAGCTTATTTAACCTCAGGGCTGGGGGTATATGCAAGAAAGGGACTTAATTTGCTAATTCATATTCCCTGGATTAATTAATCAATCTATATTTTAGCTTGTCTTTTTCTTCATAGAAGGAGAGGTAGGGAGCAATATAGAACTCTCCAGGACACAGTAGGGATGGAAGGGATCCTAACAAGAAAATGAAGCACCAAAGCATCCTTTTCTCTTGTTGGGGAAATGAAAATCACTTCCTTTTGCCCTCATTACCTCTCTACTTTTCCCCCCACAACTACCCTGAGAGATGAGGAGGGAAAAGACACTGTCCCTATAGGCACACCCCTTCCCAAAGAGCAGGGGAAGCTCTGAGCTGAACCTCTGTGGGACGCAAATCCTTGAGTTCATCCTCTTTCTCCTCCTCTTCGTCCTCTTGGTGAGGAGGGTGGAGCTGCAGGTAGGGCCCCTCAAAGTGCCCCTGGGAAAAGTCGTGCTGACGGTCAGAAGAAGGAACGGGCAGCTCTTCTCCTTGCTTCTCCTCGGTCCCCGCCATGAACTGTGAGAAATGAGCAGAGAAGCAGAGAAATCTGCGTTATCGACGCTTCGCAACCGAGCTCAGCCCTCAGCCCGTGCCGCCGCCATCTTGTTTACTCTCTCGTTGTCATGGAGACGGGAAAAGCGCCGCCTTCCCCTCTCCCCCCCATCCGCGCCATCTCGACAGCCAGCCAATCAGAAAGCGGTGGTTGGAGCGGTGCACGCTGGGAGTTGTAGTTCTCTGCGCGCGGCTCGTCCGTAGGGGACGGGCGTGCCGCAGAGCATCTTGGGAGTTGTAGTCTGCTTCAGAGGCGCTCTCCTCAGCCAACCTCCTCACCCAGCTATTTTCTTACGGTTCCAACTCCTCCGTTTGTGTTCTGACCCATGGGAAGAATACAGCTCCTTATGGTAAAACAATTTAATGTGGGAGACAATGGATTCGTGCTGATTGCAGTGGCTCTCCAACGTGGGCCATGGCAGCCAGCTGACAGTCCTGAAATTCAGCTTCTCGTTGCCACATAATTGCCTTCTCCACCTGTGTTCATTAAAGGACACCCATCTTTGATTTCAATTGTTGTTGTTTTTTTAAAAAAGAGAGAGGAAAAAAAAGGACATAAAACCTCCTTATGGACACCATCCGCTGACTTTTATCTCTGTGCTTCAGGGAAACATTATGATAACTGCAATAAAGCTACTCCAAATTGCCTTCCTTCATTATCTCGCCAGCCATAAATGTTAAAACCCTTAATGAGATTTACTCCTTTTCCATTAAGCACCGTGTGCCTCCTCCCAGAGCCCTCTGGGCACAGTGGCTGCCCTGCAATGGCTCTTCTCCAGGTAGGGCATGGCTGGGGCTGTGTTCAGAGGAGGGCAGCAAAGGCACAGGATGGAGAGCTTGTGGAAAGATGGAAAATCCTGAAGGGGAAGGCTGAGTCCTGTCAGGATACGCACAGGGAGGCTTTTAGAATCATAGGGTCATAGAATTGATTGAATTGGAAGGGACCTTGAAAGGTCAGCTAGTCCAACTCTCCTGCAATGAGCAGGGATACCTATAACTAGATCAGTGTGCTCAGAGCCTGCTCCAGTGTGATCCTCCAGGGATGGGGCATCCACCACTCCTCTGGGCAACCTCTGCCAGTGTCTCACCACCTTTATTATTTTTCTTTATATCCAGTCCAAATCTTCCCTGTTTTCATTTGAAAACATTTCCCCATGTCCTGTTACAACGGACCCTGCTAAGGAGTTGGTCCCCTTCTTTCTCCCATCCCCCCTTTAGATATTGAAAGGTCACTATCAGGTCTCCCCAGAGCCTCCTCTTCTCCAAGCTGATCAGCCACAGCTCTCTCAGCCTGGGGAAGTGTTCTATCCCTTGGATCATTTTTTGTGGCCCTCCCCTGGATGTGCTCCAGCAGGTCTATGTCTCTCCTGTACTGAAGATTCCACATCTGGATACATTACTCTAGGTGAGACCTCACCAGCACAGAGGGGCAGGATCACCTCCCTTGCCCTGCTGGCCATGCTTCTTTTGATGCCAGAGCTTCAAAGCCAAGCAGGAGCTGCTTGATGAGAGCAGGCTTCCTAGAGAGGTGGTTGATGTGCCATGTCTGTCAGTGTTCAAGAGGTGTTTGGGTTACGCCCTTAATAATATGCTTTAACTTTTGGTTAGCCTTGAAGTGGTCAGACAGTTGGACTTGGTGATCTTTTAGGTTGGTTCCAACTCTCCTCTCCTCTCCTCTCCTCTCCTCTCCTCTCCTCCTCTCTCCTCTCCTCTCCTCTCCTCTCCTCTCTATTCACACCCTGGACTGCAAACAACATGGGAGGGCTGACCTCATTTGGCCAACCAGTGTTCCCTGGCTTCTCACTGCCTTCCCCATTCAACAAGCACAGGTGAACCATCAGCCAACACACAGTGAGCAAACACTGAGCATGTACAGTACAAATATCTGCTCTCTGCAAACCTGAAACGTCACTTGCATGGAGCTTTATATTGCACAATGCTCATGAGCTTTCTGGCTGTAAAATACTGCTGCAGTGAAATAGCACAGTTTTGCTACATCTTTCAACTGTCATGGAGGTTTTCTTATCGTACCTACCATATTTTAAAGCAGAGGGCAATTGGGTCACCCCCAAGAGAGGTGGCACACCTTTAACCCAATTGAGTTGCAGAAACATTTACCTTTCAGTGGGGCTTGTTCAAAGGACACAAAAAGGGCTTTGAGATATCTACAAGCTCGGCAAGCTTTGTGCTATGGAAAAGCTATGAAGTTGTAGACAGAGAAAACTGCAGAGTACCTCTTTTTCCAGATGACAGCTTTGGCAGTCTGACATCCAGCAACCACAAAAAGAGGAGCAGGCTGCCAGCTAAGCCAGATCTCTACTGCATCCATAAGCACCTACCACAGCAGAAACACCCATAGGGACGTGTGCTGGGACTGAGAAAATCACTGCAGCCAGTGCAAACCATAACAACATTAGCTGTGGCTGGACTTAATCCGTTTACATGCATGTACATTCAATACCAAAAACCTCTTTATTCCTCGGATTGCACAGGCAGGTTAACATTAGAAGAGTGATGGGCTGACCAGAGGTGTGAAGGCAGCTGAGATGCTTGGATTGGTGCGCAGTAGGTTTGCAGGAAAGAGACTTGCCTGAGCTCCAAGCTCTCCAAGAGGCAAAGGCAACAATGTAATCAAATTCCAACTAGCTGGACAGCTGGTCCCTATAAAAGGGGGCTGGAGATTTCACGGGAACAGATTATATAAAAAGGGCAGGTCCAGACAAAGTTTAGACGGGCTGCCATTGAGCTTGGAGCAGCGCCAGCAGGGCTAATGAGTTCTCTGCGTGGAAGTCTCCCAGAGTTTATTTCCTACCATCTGGAAAATGCCTGCCCTTCCACTGGGATCTGCGATGATTCAGACAGGACTAAGGGTTATTAAAACCTCAGAACCATGCTTGTCCTCCCTCCTTGTCCCCTCCCCACCCCATCTGTTTGGCTTGGTGATGCAGGGACCAGCTGCTGGCTCATGAGCTCCGAGTTGAAACGGCTTCTTTAAGACCTTGCTCCATGGAGGATGGCAATGGGAGTGAAATGAGTCTTATGTATTTTGGGCCAGAGACAGATTGTTCCTGAATGGGGCTATTAAAAAGAAAAAGAAACAGATTAGAAAATGCCTAGGTGGTAAAGGTAGTTTTGGTGGATGCAGAAAATGTGTGGGGTGATGGGAAAGGTCACCCTTTCTGTGTTGCACCTCTAGTCCAGCACAGCATGTCCAACCAGATTACCTTAGATATGATGTGTTCTCCTTCCCTAGCACCTAAAACAAAAACTGAGTTTTTCCTACAAAAATTGCATTGAACAAACTGCACATGAAAAGCTTATAATGGCCAACCCAAATGGCCAAACACTATCTGCCCATCTTCTGCTGGGAGCAACATCTATTTTTATGCTGTGGATTTGTGCCCAGTTCTGAAGATCTGTGCATTTCCCTCTGTTTCTTCTTCATCCCCCTATGTTTCTAGGTGCTGCCATCACTTTTTAGCTTCAGCTTGCCCATGGTTCTTGGTAGGTCATTTCCCTTTCGAGGTTTGGTGTCCCCAGCCCCAAAATATTAGCCTGGCCTTCTGGCTTGCTTAGTTATTGCACGCCTGGAAGGCTAGGATGGACAGGAACCATTGAAGAAACCATTTGCTGGCAGCCAGTTGATACCTCTGTGGGTAGCAGTTCACTCTGAGGGACTCTGCAAGAATGTGTGGGGTTTGATTTGGGGCTGATGCCCTCAAAGTCATCAGGTGAGTTGCCATCTCTGTGTTTCAGCTCCTCTTATTCAGCCTTCCCTTCCTCCATGTTCTGCACACAGCACGGGTGACCCTTCCATGATAGCTGTGTGCACAAAGATGTCTCAAGGTCCCTGCCATCCAACCTATGCATTCAGTAATTGGGAAGGACTCTCCTGATGGGATGACAAAAAGGACTGTCTCTATTTGCTCAGTGCTTTGGGGGCATCCTACTGATGTTCGAGGAGTCATTAAAAACAAGAGCTGTACAAAGAATGTCCTTCTATCATCAGCTGGGAAAGAACTAATCATGCAGATGAGAGACTTTACAGTTCCCTTAAATGCCTGGGCTTCTCTTCTGAGTGATTAATGAGCAACAGTTCAGTGTGCAGGCTCAGTTATTCATAGCCTCATCTGACATGATCCTGTTCTTCATGTGAGAAGGGGGATTTCTGGATGCACCAAGGACAGATAAATCTTCTGGGCTGGTATTCAAGCAAGGAATGAGAACAGATGAGGGTAAGACAAAGGGCAACCCACAACATGGCCAGCCTGGCCCAGTGAAGATCAACATTTTGAAGTGGCCACAGTACTAAAAACATGTTTAAAGAGCCTTCATTGCATTCAACTTCACAAGCTTAAAGTTCAAGGTAGGGATAGTAGAAGTTCAGATAGGTGAGAAATGCCCCCAGTTCTGCTAATCATGGAGAACTCATTTATTTGCTGATGCCAGATGGCCTGTTAGGGCCCAAAGGGGCTGATGTGGCAAAAAAGGGTGGGAGATATTCCCTAAACATCCAGTCTTATGTTGCTGCATTTCAGATGTTGTGTGGCTGCGGTGTGAATTGTTCCCCAAGTTCTCCTGGCTCTGGAACAGCAAACACTGAACCGAACGTGTGAAAAAAATCCAGAATTGAAGCTTTCAATCCACAGCTATTATTCTAATAAAACCTTCCCAGTATCGACAGAGGGAACATTTAATACTCAGAAGTGTTAACGGCAAACGCTGGCCTTAAACACATTGATTTACAATTCAATTACAAAAACAATCAGCTCCCAAATACATGCCACATGCAAAGCAGATTTATAGGGAGCCCTGGCACTCTGATAGCACTTTGCAGTCACAAAAAACCCATGCAAACTCTCTTGGTGATTCACCGGTAAGTACTAGGCAATAAAAAGACCCAGCTGGATGAACGGGGAAAGGGGAAACCTGAAATGCTGCCAAGGTGCTCCTGAGCAGGG